CCATTACCACATCTGGATCAGTGGAGTGGACAATACTGGCGATAGGGTGAATACGCCATCGTGGTAGAAAAGCTTCCATAATAACAGCTCGCAAAGCTGCAGTAGAAAGATAAAGAGCGATATAGAGATGTTTGCCCCGCCAGATTCCAACAGGTAACTTGTTTGTCCCACAGCAACAGGAGCGCATATTGTTTAAAGCCATAGTAGGGGCGGTAACGTTTAATAATCTGGGCCAATTTATTATAAAGAGCTCGCAGCCACCTGCGCTGGCGGTAGACAAAAAGAGTCAATCCAGCCGGCTGAAGAAATCTGTCCTCAAAGTCGGCGAGTGAGGAAAAACAATTCAAACCAGGCAGATGATCGTCTAAACAGCGAAGACCGTGCCGTTCTGCAAGCGACAATTGAAAGTGACGGGAAGGTCCAACATTTTTGCCAATACACCACGGACATATACCCGAGGACGCTTGTATAAAAGGTTGTAGATCAAACCCAATTGACTGGGACAACACATGTAAGTCCCTGATGGCCGGAGGAAAGTCCGCAATCATCACCGGCCACGAAGTAGCCGACCAAATTTTCCACGACGAACGCCACCAAAGAGGAAGTAATCGCAAATCAATGAAGGAACGGTGTCGATGAAACGACAAGTTAAAAGACCCATGGACGAATAACATGTCGATGTGGCAAAGCTCCATCAAGGAGAATGGCCGCAGGTGTTGATCAGTCCAGTGTAGTTGATGTCGTCATCGACGTCATGTACTGTTGAGTAATGAAAACGCGCTGTCGCCGAAAGGCACAGCCAGCTGAGGGATATGTAGGCCACCGTGACTCATATAAAGGTAGCTAAACTCATGCGATATGGGGAGAATAGGCGTATCCTCTGGATCAATACGTTGATGAAGCACGATCTTTTCCAGTAGCCGTTGCCGACGTCGGACAGTCGGCTAGGGCACTTCAAGATGTTGTGTAAAATACCACAAGGTAAAAAAAATCACGGAAGTAGCTAGTGTCAACCGTCCCTTAGGAGTACGAGCACGATATCGCCACCCCCTTAGGCTATTAATAAGACGTTTATCAATCTCTGCGAGGTGCCGTGCAGTTAAGTTGCGTTGACCAAAAAAACTTTCAAGAAACGTAACATCATCCTGCGGCTCGAGGTCTTGTATACCAGCAATATGGAACGGCTCTCGTGAACGATAAAGAGTAAGAACCCTACACTTGGAGAGATTGAGTAAGGCTTATGAACCTGAACAGTAAATTTGGAAAGCTGGAGCTGGTCTACAGCGTCAGCAGGAGAAGATGACAGTAAAGTGAAATCGTCTGCAAAATAAAGACCAGCCGACCGCATCCCAGGGGTATGGGATATTTCAAGGTCTAGACGAGACCGCAACAGATAACCCAATGGCTTAATACACAATAGGAACAGGAAAAAAGATAGGTGGTCACCTTGTTTGACCCCCCCCCCCCGAGTGACCCCCACCGGAGCTATCAGTTTGCCATTGATTAGAAGACGGGCCTCAGGGTTGCGATACAGCATTTCAATCCAGGAGCAAAAATGGTGGCCGAAACCCATCCGAGATAGCACACGAAACATTTAGATCCAGGTCACACGATCATAAGCCTTTGAAAAATCTAGGAACACCGCGATACCGTCCTTATCTGTCTGTGACAGCAAGTGCTGCAAATCACTAAGTAAACGCACATGGTGATGAGGCGATATTCCAGTGATAAAGCTCTTTTGCTCGACGTGAATTAAATGCGGTATGAGCTGATGTATCCGATACATGAGAGATTTGGTCATTATTTTAACGTCCACTTGCATCATCGATATTGGTCGATAATTACTGGGGTCCGACCGACAACCCTATTTGTGGAAAAGAGGAACGACTGCCTTGCGCTGTGGGGAAAGCAGGTTGCCGCGCTGAAACTGGTATCGAAAGACATTTAAAGGATCTCTTCGAAGGTGTCCGAAGAAATTTTGTAAGAGGCTGCCGAATATTCATCAGGCCCACGTGCAGATAAACTGCGTAGATACTAAATGGTGATAGCCAACTCTTCGGCAGTAATATTTTCGTCAAGCGCCTGTTTCTGCCCAGTAGATAAGGTCCTCTGTACGGTATGCAAAAGACGATATTGAGCTATAGCGTTGATCCTCGAGTGATGTGGCAAACAATTTAGATCGCCGAATATAGCGCCCCAGTGGCGGCGAAATATTTCTGCAACAGCGGTGGGATCAATAGCCACGGTACCGTCCGAGCGTAGCGCTATTGCAATCGGTAAACGGTGGAGATACGAACATGGAGTTTGTAAAAATTGCCGCGTGCAGCGCTCCATCTGAGTTGCATGGGTAACGAATCCCGCATCCTGGTGGATCTCACTAAAATGCTGTTGATGGAAGTAAAGGAAAGCCTGCGCCCGTCCAAGCTGTAGACGAGCCTCTATGCTGGGTTGATACGTATTCTGCCTCAGAAAAGGAAAAAGGTAACGATACTTACGAAGGTCGCGAGTACGCTCATCTAGAATCCTAAATTCAAATTTTGCAATGCTTTCCGAGTTTTACGCTTCCAGCCTTCACACACAGGGTCAGTAGCCATACGTGTGTTAGCACATACTCGGGCTGCCTCAAACTCGATGGCAGCCACGACGGCAGAAAAATAGAATACTTTGCTTAGGAAACGCCAGTATCCCGGTCTCTGGGCTGGTTTTGTCGTATTCAGGTGTACCCTATGTAATAGATGATCATTACATCCATAAGTGTGCGTAAAATACGACGCAGCCGAGTGATGATTATCGAGAAGCTGGTCATCCAATAAAATTTAATCAAAACGATTCATTTGCGGTACTGGGATGGTAAACAATCGATCATAAGAATGATGACAGCGCCAAGCATCACCCACTCCGAGTGAAGATAACCAGCGATTGAGGTAGGATCTAGCTCCACTGTCTTGCGTCTCACCGACTTACAGTCCATCGAGACAATTTGTGGCAAGATAAAGCCCCAGGAATTGTGTGACGAATTCCTTCAGGATAGCAGTGGCAGGAAAGAGCCATATAACACGCCGTCTTCTCATTATTACTGCAAGGAGCATAGACATTGCGAATGAAATAATTGACGTCACCGACTTGCGTAATCACGACGAGATATCTCCCGGAAATGGTCTTGGACGATCTAATATGAGCAGCAGATGAACCGGGAAATTGGGAAGCGAGAATAGTCATCACCCCTGCACGATTACGATTAATCGTAGACTTATCGAGAGACTGGAAGTCTGAACAAAAGCAGCGGTGGTGATCCTGTTTGCAACGTAGTACAAAAACTTGGCACGCTGGGCCAGATTATGGAATTTGGTCGTTTGAAAACACACGAAATCGCATGGCACGACTTGTGACGAGACAGTAAGATTATCGTTTTGTTTGAATACTGTAAATGCTAGCAGTTAGCATCCAAATGCAGACCAAGGTGATACCAACTTAGTTCTTCATTAGGACGGCGTGCAACGAGAAAGGATGGATTGCAATGAGCAGGCAGCTATGTGGACCTCACCTGCCGTGGAAAGGAGCCGAAGGGAATTGTTTTCAGCATCAATGGTCGTATTCGAAGCACGCAAATGAACAAGAGAGCAGAGTACTGATTCAGTATAGCCAAAACGATTACAAAGGTCGACGATTCGCTCACCGAGAGGAGATTCAAGAAGAGACTGCAGTATATCGATCGATAGGAGACGAATTGGGTGAGTACCGATCAACTCAATCGGATGACCACAATTAATGGAAAACCATTCATCACTCTGCATGATCGTTGGTTCCGACATCAACAAGAACAATTCGAAAAATGCTAATGCTTGGGGCGTATCAACTTGCTCACAGTTTTTGTTGCCATACAGTTAGCAGAGTGTCCGGGTATTCTGAACGAGACCTGTACGCTGACCAGCTGGAACAAAAGGCGTACAAGCCGACAAAAAAGGCTTACAACGTCAGCGTCAGCAGCTTGGACCATTTGTTGATCTAGATGGAGGTCAACGACCTCTTCGAGCTGAACGCGTCCAATCTCTGTCTGCATTAGGTTAGCAAACTCTTTTGGCTGGCGCCCGGTTCATCTCGAAGCGCCTTTAACAGTTCGTCTGAATCACCATAAGAACAAATGGTCTCGTGAACTCATGCCCGAATTTGCTCGCAGGGGGACGAAGCGCTCTTCCATGGGACTGCTGAGCAATGATATCCCGTTTAGGTTTGTGAAAAATATCGCGCACCGTCTGATCACAATCAGCACGGACAGCGAGGCCGTCAACTGTAACCAATTTGGCGCAGCTAGCCGCAGACGCTGGATCGTTCGGTGGCGAAAAACAAGTCGGAAAGATCCAGAGCTGATCAGCAGAGTAGCGTCGTCAGCATTATATTCGTAGACATCAAGCTGCGCATCGAGAGTGGCAAGAGCAATGTAATAATTCGGCGTGTACCACGATTGATCTGTAGCGTCGCCAGTCCAAGCATGGTGACGTTTACGGCTCCGTTGGAATTAAAACTCATTTAGCGCCGGTTAAGAAGGTGAGACAGCTGGTACGATGGGCTTAGCGTCAGGAGGCGAAGAGAACTCTGGATCTGAAGACGACGCACCAAATTACACTAGTGAAGACATAGGCAAGGTTCTGCCATGCAAGTTGCCCCCAAAGTCTGCCATTGATTCACCATCTGTAGTATCAGAAACTCCACGCTTGGCTATTGAACCGATATACTGTCCAACGGCCCGGGTTTTCAGCTTTATATTTAAAAGCCAGGTGGGTTAGGTCCAAGGAGTATCTTAATCGTCGATGATAGGGCGCCAGAGGTCGAATACTTGGAGTATCACGATGAGTGCACCGATCCACGAAGAACGAACTGGTCCACCGCCTCACCGTCAACATCTAGACAAGGAGGTCTCGAAGTAGAACGGAGGTAGATCCGTACTTGTCCACCCCAAAGCGCAGTACCTTAGCTATCCCCCAATCGATCACAATACATGGTCAAGGCTCCCCGAGCTTGGAGAAGATCAAAGAAAGCTCTGGTGCCCTTGACGTCGATACGCCAAATACGCCGACGTCGTGGCAAGTATCGAGAACACTAGTTTCCTTGAAAGCAATTTGATGATTAAGGAGAGTAACCTGCTCCCCCACCAAAGATCGCTTAACCTTCAGCAACTTAGCTCCGATTGAAATTGAATCGTTTGAGGTCGGCTCAAGCACATCAATCTGACCGCTGCCAAGCAACTCCTCGACCTTTGCATTCCCATGATCACTCGAAGAAGAGGCAATTAATTTGGAGTGGCCCACTTTCGAAATTAGCGCCCCGACCCCCAAGTCCACCGAGTACGGAGAAACTTCTGCTACACCCGGATTCAGGTCACGTGGTTTGCGCAGAATTATGTAACAATCAGCCCCATCATAATAGAGATGAGCCATCACCAGGAGGTCACTATCAGACGGCTTAGCGATATCGAAGGACACCGGAGAGGCAGGTTTGCTTTTATTCATCCGACCGGCCCCCACCCGGAGTAGCGAGGCATAGCCATAGGTGGTAACGGACCAGAGCGAGCTGAGCCCGTAGATGCAGATGTCAATGAGGCCGAGTCCACCTCTCCCAACCTAGACGAAGAGGAAGGGGCACATATGCTAACCGGGACCGTTGGACAAGCCACGGTACCCGTAGCCTGATCAGTCGGCACGTTAGCAGGCATCACATCAGAACCAGTGGTGTTTGGCATCGTCAATGGTGGAAGCTGATTGGTTGCAATTTTCGATTAGGTACTTAGAAGCAAATGAAGAACTGGAAACGACAAAATATCCCAGATAATCAGAAAAATTAACAAAAGCCCCAGTAGTGCATACGGCATACCCTATATTCATATTGACGTGAGACACATAAACTAACATTGTTTTGGAGCGGAAGACATACCTATTCTCGTCACCATTCCTCTGTAATATCAAATCTGTCTGGATTACTAAAGTTGATGATTTTAATTACGCGCTTATTCACCCTGACGGATTGAACTTATGCTATGCTCGCGTATCCATGCTACATTTGCAAAGGAAACAAGAAGTAAGCTAGGAAAAATCGATGCAAGGTAGGTGTAGTAGAGAAGAATTTGCGTCAGTTCTAGCGTTTGTAAGTACCGGTAAACATTCATAAACGCCATATATTGCTTTTTAGTACCTTATAAGGATACCTCTACTGATGTAGCACGTTGTAACAATGCAGAAAAGATACGGCAATATGACTGTCAGGAAGATATGTGCCGAATTCTGACGGATGAAGTGTCGTCACATAAATAAACAAAAGCTTGTTGAAGTCTGTAAGTTGCAACGAAATCGTTTGTTGCTTCGTTAAATTATGACATAGATGATGAGGTGGGTGAATATTTGAATAAATTGAATGTCTATTATGCGTTATCATTCCTCTTGAGATATCCACACCCAGCGAAATATTTGGCGACTTTCACTTCATTAACATCGTCGATGAATACCTGCAACAGCAATAAATCGTATCCATGAGCGTTTGCAAGGTTGTACAAATGGCTTTGATATCGCTATTATTCGCGCCTTCAAATTTTGAGAAGCTTAGTGCAAGCGGAAAGTTAAGAAGTCAGTACATCATCTAATCCGTAGAAAATGACATGTCAGATACACATATCACGATGTCAAACCACAGCATCCGAAAAAGACAGTAATAAGTAGCGTTGCGTACAATAACACGACAAACAAGTTTCAAAACCTACGTAGAGGCATCAGCACACTATCTACTTCTTATGATACGCCTGCAGACGTCTGAAGGTTTTCGAATTTGTGAGAGATTAATAGATCAAATATTTTCAGAAAATCCATTGAATTGATGTGCTCAAGCACTAATTTCATTGAGCAAGAATCGAATTCCTATCCAACGACTGAAACAGCAACAACAACAGCAACAATATTAGCAGTAGATAGAAAGTGAACAATAGCAACTAAAACAACAAAATACGTCAATAATGGTACCAACATTAACGACACTTACGATATTAAAATAAACATCAGCACCGACTGTGAAAGATTTCACCCGCAGTCGACGAAATGAGGACGCGAGTCACGTCTTCCCCTTGTATGTTTCAGCCGCAACTAGTGACCGATAGCGCACATCCGCGGCAGTATTCTCTCTTGGAATTCTCCGTAGGGAGGGGCTTATAATTTATTGAGAGCTTTTGTAATGAGCATTGACTAAATATGTAGGGTTTTAAACGATCACATTTCCATTCTATCTGTCTCTATTTTTGTTTATTTGTAACATTTCAGCCTTTTTCGACTGAAAGCGTATTGCAAACAGGGAAAGGTGCGACGATGTGTCAAAGCATAACCTATCGAAATTGTGTGCCATTTTGTTGTACGAAAATTTGCTTAGTTATTTAGTCCGGACATTTTGATTTTGACATCGAGAAATTGTGAGTCTGACATGTCATATACTCCGGATTAGATGCGATAGTGACTTAAATTGCCATCTGCACAAAGATATAGGTGTCCTATATAACGATACGATGCAAAGCAATATGAATCTGTATCATTGCTGATGGATATATTTTGGTGATGTTGCAGGAATCTACCAGTGCCGCTAGCGACTATATGATTCAAGAACAGCGAGCTGAATATGAAGAGTATCAAAAGTAATGCCATTACCCACAATAGATTGATCGAGTCGAAGTGTTTATCCACTCTAGCATACATGTCATAGTTTTTTTAAGGAATCAACTACACTTCGTATTGAAACCTTAGGTACGGTAATCAACAAGTTCGTCTAGTTCGTCGTACTGCAGCCGTCAGCACTTCGCATGTGAGCCAATTACGTTCATATCGGGGAGCCACACCACATGCTGCATTGTCACAATGTTATAAAGCTGCTATACGTATTTTTATGAACCGAATCATTAGTAACTAGTGGCGCTTATGAATGTTAAGTACTACACACCCGTCATATTCGATCTAGTTTTCTGCACGACATCTTGATTACATTCTGTTGCCCATTGTAGATATGTATAACAGGAATGTCGCGTCGATACGCGAGCATAGCAAAAGTTTACTCTGTCCAAATGAGTATCCGCATGACCGTTTTCATGGGCTCATACGTTTTGGTAGGTCAGAGGTAACCGTATATTATGTGTGAATGGTAATTTTAAAAGGTTAAGCCCTATTTGAAGCAATGTGTCAGTGCATCTGTGCCACGTCAACTTGAGTGTACGAAGATATGGGGTATTTTTCCAATTCGCGATCAAAAGAGGCATTTTATTTATTTTTAGGATTTCTTGTAACAGGTGGATGGATGTGAAAGTTTCACCAGAGCGTGACAGGGTATATTTGAAATCCAGATACAGTTAAGCATATCACACAGTCGTGAACTACATCAGCGACTAGTAGGTACATGATACCACTCTTGGAGTCTCAGAGTACCGATGCGGTGGAAGACCAGGAGATTGATGTTGCAACAGGAGGAGTTGTATGCACTGTAGCGAATTGGAGCATGCCCAAGTGATTTGTGCTGGAATTGTGGACTAGATTACGACGTGGGTGATGCTAAAGGCATCTCGTGACAGATTGAGGTAATTGACATTTACATGTACTTGTTCGGACCTGGACATAATTTAGAGTCTGGTGTAGCTCTCTCCATTCTAGGTTAATTCTATGATGAGTCCTTTAGGTCAGACCGGGTCATCTCTGGTGGGAGGATGCGCCACCATAACAGCGATGACTTGTAGTCGCTTCGAACAAGTCAAATAGTCTGGGTGCATACATTCTCTTTAGCAAGTCACAAGGACCTTCTGTCCCACAGGTCACGGAATTACGTTCGCAGTGTAATATGAAGAGATTGATATAATGCTTCATGTTAGGCTTCAACAAGGCGGAAGGTAGCACGGTTGTGTCGATTAGTGCTAACACACTTCCCGCACTAGTATGGTCTAAAAACCCGTCGCCAGCTGCTTTTCCTCGTGATCTAATGTGTCTATTCTTGGGTCTTTTTGCCTTACGGTTATATCTCTTTGGTAGAACACCTTGGTTGTTGACGATACTATGATCCTCGGGTGCAACGGGGCACCCTGAAGCTTGTACTGGTGACAGTACAAGCTACTTATTTTGATGACAGAATAAGGCGGTGCCTCGTAACTTCACGTACACTCGTACGTGCAGAGGAAGACGGTAAGAAGAAGCGAGTACTTGGTTAAAGTAAAAAGTAGAACTGTATTTAGTATAGTTAATGTCTGCAATAAATCACTATTTATCTTCATCTAACTATGTCTAAATACAAATGTGTAAATCAGTTATCTGCTCACCACTCATTGCGTGCGTCTGTCGTGGCGCGTCTTCGTTGGTTGATATAATGGCCTATATCAACCAATTAGGAACTACTCGTAAGTGCTACATAATATTTGTCCTTATGACAATATTCTGAGAATATAACTCTTACAGTTATATTCTATTAACAATCTCTTATAAATTGTTATGTAACGATTCACCCCGTTACATCACCCCCCCCTTAACCATCAGTCACTTTAGTGACTGATTGACTAAATGGATACTCGTCCCAAATCATTTGGGACAGGGTTTGCACTTGTTGGTCCGCGTCCACTTTCCAACATCTCATCGCATGGTTAACAAGCCCATGCGATGCGCGAGCAAGGCCGCCGAGAGCGCGTCCGCACGTCTCTGTGCGGACGCCGAAGCAGAAACAACAGCAACTGATGTCTCATCGGTTGCTGAAGCGACTCAGCCTGTGTCACTTGGTGATGCAGGCGCTGGTCATGAAGACACTCATGTCTTCACAGAGTATGAGCTCGGTGTCTCATACTCTCCTGATACGGAGGACGGATCCGTATCGACGGCGATTGAATCTAAGCCGCCTGCCAAGCGTGGCATGGACGATGCTTTGCGTCGCAGCATCTTTGGTTCATCTGATGAATCAGATGAACCATCGCCGAAGCGAAGGCGCTCGAGGTTGCGAGACTCGGGCGCTAACAGTGGTGTCGGTTCTCCTATGGACACCACTTCCCAACGAGGTGCCAGTCCTTCTGTCGGCACATCGCAGGAAGAGCGGGACCGCAATGTCTTCGTCTCGCTCCTGAGAAGAAGGCATGGATGCCTTCAAAATCTATCATGGATCACTTGTCGGCGACGACGAGTGATCGTTATCGAACACGATTGTTCGATTCGTCAAGGATCCATCACCTTGACCCCAGCGCGAAAAACTATCGCGCTGAACATGAACTCTTCATCGATGCTTTCTTTAGACATCGATGGTACAGTGTGAATCACAAACGTGATGGTCCCTCACTACTTCAGGCGTGGAATGCCTACATCCATAACCTTGAGGATGTAGGTCGTGACGCTTGGAACGACAAACTTATCAAAGCTCGTGATAAGTTTGAAAAGCGAACCCCGACAGGTGCACGCTACAAGCTGCATCGTCTGTCAAGGGAGAAAGGATTACCCTGCCTCTCGTGGGGAGACTCGTGCCCATGTTGTGTGAACAACTCTGCACGAGCACCTAAGGAGGCTTACCTCATTACCAGCCCGTGGTGGCGCGTACGTATCTCTAGTGAGATGTACGAAGGGATTGACAACTTGAAATCCCTTTACGACCGTGCCGGGAAGACTTTCTCCGGCGGTCCTTCTGTGGCACAGGATGTGCCGCGTCGTACTGCTCAACCAGACCCAGTACGTCGATCATCAGTTGGGAGCGGGGCTCCCAAGAATCCCAGGACGGGGGATAGCCGCGCCACCGGACGAGATAACTCGTCCGACGTCCGTTCACGTCGCGGTGGTTCAACAGCCGCTCAACTAGATAGCGCTGGCCACCGCGAGAGTCCTCTAATGGAGGTGGAGGAGGAGGAAAGACGCTCTCCACACGATCATGTGGATCGGTGTGTTCCCGAGAGCTTCTTTGATCGCGTAACGCAAGGGTTACGCGACGATCTCGAACATGAGCGGAATACGCGTCTCCAAATGGCGGACACTGCCTTGAAGCATCGAGCTGAGTTTGCCTTTGCTCAGCTCGAGAACGAGAGAGCTTTGACATCTCTGCGTGACGAGATAAGGGTAGCTAGTGTGGATATTGACCGGTCTCGGGATGACATAACTGCTATTCAGACCCTTGTCGATGCCCACCATCGGAAGAACAAGGCTGTCTGTGAGATGCTTGAGCGCAAGGTAGTTCTTCATCGGAAGAAACAGCGTACGGATGGTACGGCTTAAGCCGACCAACGTAAAACGTGGGATGCGTTCGCATCTTACGTGGTAACTCGATCGTGTATGCATTGCCTAGGCGGTGCAATACACGAAATGGGCCGATGTACTTGGGTAGTAGTTTACTGCTACCCAAGTTAGTCACTACATGCTTTGGTAGATTAACCGTAGACAGTAGGACTAAGTCACCTTTATTAAATAAAAGAGTGTTTGCCCTTCCATTCTTATCAGCGTTTTGCTTTTGCTTATCCACCGCTTCGGCGATGGAGTCTTGCACAAAACGGACTACCGTTTCACGAGCCAGTATGAACTCATCTGGTGACTCGTTAGCTTCAGTGCGCTGTGAGCGCACTGCAGCAACATCAACCTTTTCTTCAGTGAGGGCTTCCGCACTCTCACTGGGATCATCCTTTTCAGTGAGGGCTTCCGCACTCTCACTGGCATCATCTTCTTCGATATCGATGTTATCGATATCGGCATCAAACGCAATGACTTCTTCGTCAGAGCGTGATGAGCGTGAACCAATTCGGTTTTTGCTCGCGCGAGTCCCTCCCCCCCTTAAACCAGAGTTACACTCTAGTAAGGTGGGTACACGTGGATGGCGTAAGCCATTCACGTAAAACGGTGTATGGGTCGTGGACGCATGCACCGAGTTGTTAATGGCAAACTCTACCATTGGCAAAAACTCACTCCAACTCTCAAAGGAGTGTACGTATCCTCGAAGTATCTCTTCAAGGGCACGATTGGCACGTTCCGTCTGACCATCTGACTCTGGATGATCAGATGTAGACATCTTCAAGCGCGTTCCGAGTGATTTGAACACGGAACGCCAGAAATCAGCAGTGAATCGTGGATCTCTGTCTGATACGAGTTCACGGGGCAACCCATGAAGTCGGAAGATGGTGTCAATAAAGACAAAAGCACAGCCACTTGCCGTGATTGTCTCTGGTACAGCCACAAGGTGTACCATTTTGCTGAATCTGTCAACAAATACGAGAATACCCGTATTCCCGCGTGAGTCTTTGGGTAACCCGAAGACAAAATCCATTGAGATGGATTCCCAGCACTCAGCCGGAACCGGTAGAGGCTGTAAAGGTGCACGCAGTGAAGGACTTGACTTCACTCGTTGACAGACTTCGCATGCGCGAACATACTTTCGCACAAACTGATACTGGCGGGGCCAGTAAAAGTCTCGACTTACCGTAAGATGTGTCTTCTCCCGGCCACGATGTCCTCCTATAGGAGCATCGTGATACTCGAACATGATCCGCAAACGCAGATCAGTATCATCTGGAATGACAACACGTGGTGTATCACCAGAAACGGCTGTATAATACAGTAAACCGTTACGAGTAGTGTATCGATCTGATGCAGATCGATACGCAGACGACAATCGTTTCAACGATTCTCGAGATGGTTGGAAGAGATGTGTCAACAACTTCACTATCTCACCATCTTGGGCGTATGCCCGCCTCACATCATCATACAACGTTGTATATGGGACTGAGGACGTCATAACCGCAACAGTGACTATCTCACTGTTGGGTTTCGCGACTGTTTCAAAGTCAGGACGACGTGAGAGTGCATCAGCGACGACATTAAGTCGTCCTGGTTTGTACTCGACCGTAAAGTTGTATTCTGCAAAGAATGACAACCACCGCGCCATTCGTTGAGAAAGGTGCGGGCTGTTCACTGCCGTGCGTAACGACGCGTGGTCAGTGTAAACAATGAAGGGTCTATCTCCTAATAAATAGACTCTGAACTTCGCGAGTGCATACTTCATGGCAAGGAGTTCCTTGTCATGCACTGGATAGTTCCGCTCAGCTGGTTGCAGCTGACGCGACTGATAGCAGACGACGCGTTCAACGCCTTCTAGGTCGTACTGCATTAATGCACAGCCAATTGCGAAATCGCTGGCATCACAGACCACATAAAATGGCCTGTCCTGATCGGCTATTGCTAGGACTGGGGATTGTATCAAGCTCTGCTTGATACCATCAAAGGAGCGCTGACATTCAGCGTTCCATAACCACCTCTCGTTCTTTTTCAACAAACGAGAGAGGTGCACAGTCATCTCGGCGTAATTGCGTGAATACTTATGCAAATACGCCGCTAGCCCAAGGAATTTTCGAAGACCTTTGACGTCGACTGGCACAGGCCAGTCGGGGATCGCCTTGATCTTTTCGGGATCAGGAAGTACACCGTTCTTACCAACGATGCACCCAAGAAGTGGTATTTCGCTTGCTGCAAATATACACTTTTTGAGGTTTGCATACAATTGATGCTTTCGCATGATTGTAAGAACCTGTCGGACGTGGTACCTGTGAACCTCAACGTCCGACTTTCCATTCATAGCTCGACTATGGATGAATACGTCATCGAAATAACTCGGCGCGAATTCGCGTACTGGTCTCAACAGATGTGTATCACATCTGTTGAACGTGGCAGGGGCATTACTAAGCCCTTGTGGCATTACTAGCCATTCCTAGAGCATGCCGCTAGGCGTGCTCACTGCGGTATAGGGTATGTCCCGTTCCCGCATAAGGATTTGATAGAAGCCATCCATCAAATCCATGGACGAAAAGATGGTACTCTTTGACATACCATCAATGATTACGTCCTTCCTCGGTATCGGCGTCTGAGCCGGTACCGTTGCAGCGTTCAATTTGTTGAACGCGTGCACTATCCGCCACCCTCCTGTTGCTTTTCGCACACAGAAGGTCGGAGAGCTATGTGGGGAAGTTGATTTCCTCACATGGCCCGCTGCTAAACGATCGGCAAAGAACTTGTCGATCGCAAGTAATTGTTCACGAGGCAGTGGCCACTGCTTCATGACACAGTACTTCGAGCCTGGTTTAAGCTCGACCTCGTGTCGAATGCCTTTATCCTTCGGTAATTCGCACGGAACAGTTTCAGGGAATACATCCTTGAATTCAACCAAATCTTCATAGAGAGGATTTTTTTTGAGCGATTCCCACGATTGGGAGTCATATCGCTCAATTCGTGTCTTTTCATCCAGGACACTCTCGTCCATAGATGAACTACTGAGAACTCTCTCGTTCTCAGTAAACACTGTTGCTGACCTTATGTCGGCTACACACTCGTCGTCAGCGACGAGTACGCAGATCTGCTTGACTTTGCCACTACGCAGATCACGCAAGAACCTTTTATGTTCGAGCGTTGGCAACTGAGTGATCTCCGAAGTCAAATTCGGAGGCGCAATCAGATCAAGTGTGTAAGCGCCTACACTTGATCCGTCATTGACTATGACATTCAATGTCTCTATCTCTTACTGGGGACTTATTCTTTCAGGCCTCGAAGGACTTATTCCTTCGGCTTCCCGGGGACTTATTCCCGCGGGTTCGGGGAACTTATTTCCGCCGTATTTGTAATATCGGGACTTATTCCCTTAACTTCCTCCAGCTGTGGTTGCGCAACCACAGCGAGATCCTCTACGAAAGACTCTCCAGTCGATCTAGGATTATCGTTTCGCTTAACCTGAGCGATCGATTGTTTCTCTTCTAGATGTTCATCGCTAGGGATACATCTTTTTCCTGGTCCACTCGACTTATTCGAGTGGTGGACCTTCGGCGCAGCCTGTGTTTCCTCACAGCCGCCGGAACTTTGCTCCGAAGTGTAACCGTTTGTTACACTAAGGTTTTGTGCAGTCGTACTAACGACCGTACCACAGGTAAGGCCATCGCACTCACTCGTAGTACATCCACACGCTTGTGGACGCTCCAAAACGTTCATCAGATGGCCATATGATGAACAAGCGGCAGGCATCGTTACTGTTCGATGTTGCCAGTTTACTCGTGGTTCGTACCTTCTGAGCCACGGTATTCCAAGGATGACACCAAATTTTTCATCCAAATCCAATACGATAAAGTCATCGTCATATTGGGTATCTTCTAGCGTATAGTGGATCTTCACTATACGCTTCATGACGGTTACGGATGCGCCTGTCGCAAGACGTACCGTCATCCTCGTAGGAGGTGTGTCACATTCACTGAGCTTAAAGCGACCATCTTCTAGCGATTGGCGTCGCACAAAATTGTTGGACGCCCCACAATCGACTAGAGCTCGAAGGGACAACTTATTCGTCACTTCGAGTTTCAAGGTAATGATTGAGACCTCATTACCTAGAGCAGCAACGCACAACGTTTGTGTGTTGGGAGCAACCTTCATCAAGAGGCCTACAAATTCTCTTGACGTTGCTAGACCAGTAGGGTGCTCCGCACCTACTGATCCTGTCCGTTTTTTGACGGTACATCCCGTTGTTGCGTCTTTGCACCAACTGCGGACCCTCGTCCCTGCCCCTTTCTCATGGGTGGACGGTCACTACGCCCAGTGTCGCGAGACACTGGACGAGGGGCACTACACTCGTAAGCGTAGTGTCCTGTCTTCTGACATCTGTTGCATTTCTGCAACTTTTTGTAGTCTGTAGAGCGAGCCTTCTCGCTCTCTACATAACAGAGTTCCATCGGCTCTGGACATCCGCTGTCATATCGTCTCGGTTGACGATATGATGTCGAGCTGGCGCGAGCCTGTCTCAGACTGAAGTCTTCCTGCTCCGCAATGGAAATGGCTTGTTCTAGTGAATCTAGTTCAAGCCGGAACAGGTGAGTCTTGACGGGACCATCCGCAAGACCCTGCATGAACACCGAAACCAACGTGTGTTCATCCACCGGATTGGAACTTATACAACTCGTGAGATGTCGTATATGTTGAGCGTAAGCGTGCACATCACGCTTACCCTGCTTGAGCTTCAAGAGTTCGGTTCGAGCTCTGAACTCAGCTCTAGGCGGTTCAAACGTTTGTCTGAGCCGCGACTTGAAGACTTCCAACGACCCAAACGCGTATGGGTCGTGCAACTTGAGCCCCAGTGCCCAAGTCTTGGCACGTCCTGCCAGATTTGACTGGGCAAATGCAACTTGCATATCCCCGTCGTCGATGCGACGCGCCCTTATGGCGTCATCCAATTCGACGAACCATCTCAAGAGGGAGTCCTCTTCGACTCCCCTATACTTGGAGATGTCAATCTTCAAAGTCTCAAGTCGACGCGAGTGCATCGACCCACCAGCAGCAGCATGCTGCTGTCTCAACAGTCCAAACTGTTGAACACCCTGTTCTTTCAACAAATCTGATTGTCAAGAACCTTGTTGGTGAAGCTAGGCTACTTTCTCGCGTTCAGCGTCAAGTTCATTTTGAATGAACTTGGCGATAGTAGCATCTTGAGCATCTCTATTGAGAGCCTCTAGCATGAATATAACAGCATGGATGCCCATGGTTGAACCCATCCGTTTAATCGCATCCCATTCGACATCGCTCAAATGGAGGTAGCCGTCACGCGTAGCATGAAAGCTTTGGTCATCTTCATCATCCAACATATTCCTGTTGGATGTGAACGCGGTCCTTGGACGGACTACGAAGTGATACCAGTTGTAACGGGGCACCCTGAAGCTTGTACTGGTGACAGTACAAGCTACTTATTCTGATGACAGAATAAGGCGGTGCCTCGTAACTTCACGTACACTCGTACGTGCAGAGGAAGACGGTAAGAAGAAGCGAGTACTTGGTTAAAGTAAAAAGTAGAACTGTATTTAGTATAGTTAATGTCTGCAATAAATCACTATTTATCTTCATCTAACTATGTCTAAATACAAATGTGTAAACCAGTTATCTGCTCACCACTCATTGCGTGCGTCTGTCGTGGCGCGTCTTCGTTGGTTGATATAATGGCCTATATCAACCAATTAGGAACTACTCGTAAGTGCTACATAATATTTGTCCTTATGACAATATTCTGAGAATATAACTCTTACAGTTATATTCTATTAGCAATTTCTTATAAATTGTTATGACGATTCACCCCGTTACATCGGGAGTCATCATACATCGAGGGTCGTTTGATCAGTCGTGACTTGGTAGCACTGACCTGTTAGCACCGATAGCATGAAAAGTTTCTTACTTGCGTTGAGAGTTACGATGGATGACGACCGGGAATCTTCACCCTCAGACAAGTCTCACGCAATCAAATTATTGAGATCGTATTAACATCTTGCTGCTTCGATGGTTGAGTTACTCGACAGACAAAGGAGACGTGGTCGTCAATACCTACTGAGGTGTACTCTCCGGCTTGCTTCAGCTGGTCTGAATGTTGCCTCAGCTCGAGGAGTGACCGCACATCCTGCTTTTATTCACATTTGTACGTGCTGATTGCGAGCGTACACATGGCCCAACCGTAAAGTTGCGTAGCGTTTGGAAACCTAAAGGGCATCATCGTCTTAAAACTTTAACTTCAAGCTCGTTTGCGGCTGTGGGATAAACTGATAATATCTGGAATTTAAACATATCCAATCATCTTCTGGTGAAACTTTCAAATTCTGCCATCTTTTGCAATTATTCCTTTTTGATATTCGTGATCAAGTGGGATTTTCCTCTTATTTTGACTTGTGACATTTATATGACGTCATTTCGCCCTATCGTTCTGTGCATACCGTAACAACTCCGCAATTTCGTTTACGGCACTTTATCCCATCCCACTTCCTTTGCTGTCATTTTCCTCCAATCAAAACGTAACTCTGCATCAAACACCCTCTGACCAGCTTCGGCCGCTTCACGAAGATCAGGTCATGTCGTCCGAGTGCGAGAGCCAAGAGACGATCGTACGTATGTGGACAGTCGCTTCTTGACGTTCCCTACGTCATGTATTGTGCGTTCATCCATACTCTGCATGTTCCTCTTCGTGTCCGGGACGATCGATGTTAGAAATGCGAGTTTAGAAACGAGACTTTTGTAAAACCTCAATCCTCTGACTAACTATACAAGTACATTGCACCACAGACCTCGAGAGCTCTCGAGCCTCTGCTCAAGTACGAGCGCGTGGGCGGTCACTTCCACGCGATTTTCAAGGACGACTCGCTCAGCTGCATCGCATTGCACGTCAAGTTTGTTTGTGCTGGGACCTACGGGGGCAACGTGCTGCTGCTGGAGCTCGACGGCCGCTTCATTCGTCGTCTGCATCAGCACTATAAAAAGGTGAACCAAGTGTGCATCGACGAGACTGGACAGGTACAGGCATTTCTAAGTGAGCAACTGAGGAAAAATTAGTGATGGTCAATGGATCAATGTGCGTATTTCTAATGAGTGATGATGCAGTTTATCGCATCGTGCTCCGATGATGGCACGGTGGCTGTGTATACGCTATTTCCAGTGACTGCTGAAGGTCCTGAAGGTCGTGACCACGACGTGAGTGGCCATCGACATGCTCGCAATCCGAGCACCAAGGCGGTAAGACAAAAGAGTTTGGTCGCAAGCACAGGCGGAGAAGTGAACATTTATAACTACACGAGTGCAATTTACGCCGTGCAGCTGGAAGACCGATACGCTGTGAAGCGTGAGAAGAGTTTTGCATGTGGAGGCGTCGCAGGTCAGCTGATTATTAATAAAAAAGGGTGGATCCTGGATAAGGAGACGACTGTGCATGAAGGAGAAGGACCCGTGCAGCTCATTCGCTGGAAAAACGGGCTCGTGGCATGGGCCAACGACTGGGGAGTGAAGGTGTACGACTCGGGAACGGATCAGCGCGTGACGTACATTGAACGCCCACCAGATTGTCCGCCCATGGAGCTCTGTCGCTGCCATCTAGAGTGGCAGGGAAACGATGTTTTGCTCGTTGCGTGGGCGCATACGTTACGCGTTGTGACGTTTAGAAAGGGGCACTCTGAGCCGTCGGCGTCGCCAACTTCAGCTGCTGCGTTGGACGCCGTGGAACAGCCATCTAGTGAAGTAACAGCAGAGGTGGCGGCACTGCTTACATTCGATTTTTTTGTGGCTGGAATCAGCCCGTGGGGTGGTGGCTCGGTCGTCTCAGTGCTGGCATTCCGACCACCTGGATCGTCATTGGCGTCTACAGGCCCTCAAGGCAAATCAACGAAAGTTGAGGGTGAAGGGGAAAGCGGAGAAATGCCGTATCCAGAAGTGCACGTCGTGCGCTTGGATGGAAAGCAAGTCAGTGCTGATTTGCTTAACTTGAAGAGCTATCAGCGGCTTCGTGCGTCCGATTATATGATGCCTACTCTTCGCTATGCACATGCGCCCCCGTCGAACTTGGAATCAACTGATCCATCGTCAATATATGATGCTGGATACGGTCAACTAGCGTACGTCTGTACTCCAAAGGATGTCGTTATATGTCGACTCCGTGATGCAGATGACCGCGTGGAGCGGGCACTGGCGCGGAAGCAGTACGCCAAAGCACTCGATGTAGCTTTCCATGATCCGCGTGCTCTTCGACGTGTGGTACCCACTGATGTAATCGAGGTGTATATAGGTAACTTACTACACCAGAAGAAATTTCAGAAGAGTGCTGAGGAGATCCAGCGGCTGTTCACCGGTGGCAGCGAAGAATACGCAAAGCTTTGGGAAAAGTACGTGTATGTGTTTGCTCAGCGTGGGCAACTGAGCGCAATCGCGCGTTATATACCAACGGCAAGCCCACGTTTGCCTAAAGTGCAATATGAGATGGTGCTGAAGCATTTCCTCGATTCAGATCCAGGCCAACTTCTCGAGCTCATTCGGAAATGGCCTAAGCCAAGGCGGCAGGATAGTATGATGGCTCAGCAGCAGTTTGAAGGTGACACGTCTGACGTTGCCCCGGAGTATACCGAAACGGTTCACGTGTTTGAGCCGCTCTATGATGCCCAGGCATGGATCAACCAGCTAGAGACAGTCGTGCGTCGTCGCCGTATCGCTGAAGCTGACGCAGATCGCTTGAGCGTTGAGACGACGTATTTGATGGAGGCTCTGGCGGAACTCTACACGGCTACCGAACAGTATGATCATGCGCTACGTATTTACATCAGTCAAGGCGAGTCGTGTTCGAACAAAGAATTCGCGTTCAAGCTGATCACTGAGCACCAGTTGTGGTCACTTGTTGTTAACAAAGTGGTCAACCTCATGCGCATTGATAAGGCCATTGCAGTCCGTATGCTCGTCAATCAGACGGAGCAGCTCAAGATTAGCGATATCGTTGCTCAGCTTGAGGGTGAGCCTGAGCTGCTGCACACGTATCTGCATGAACTCGTTCTACGCCGCTCGGGAGAGTACAATTCGGAAATCTACTCGGCACTGCACGAGAAGCAGATTGCGCTTTACGCTGAGTACGCACCAGAGTTCCTGCTGAAATTCTTACAGACGAGCAGCTTCGTTCCGTTGGAAAAGGTAAAAATACACGGGTGTAATGCAGGATGGTGTTGGGGTTCTGACTGTTCGCATTTTCGGTGTGCTGCTTTCATTTTGTCAGGCTTACAAGTACTGCAGCGAACACAGTCCTCCACTATGGGATACAATGATCTACGTTCTTGGTCGGATGGGACACCACAAGAAAGCACTGGACCTCATTTTGACGCAGCGTCGCGATATTAATCAAGCAATTCAGTTTGTCCAAGAGCACGACGAGGGTCTGTGGGATTACCTCATAGATTTGAGCCTTACCAGCAAAGACAACGTAGAAGAGTTGTTACGGTTCGCTTCACAACACAAGATTGATCCCATTACGCTTATACGCAAGGTATGTACTGCAGTAAGTACATGGTTTGCAAAGCTTACTATCGTGTTATCCAATGGCAGATACCGGATGACATGGAGATTGTAAACCTCAAGCAGCAGCTCATCGCAATCATCACCAACTACCGCTTGCAGGTACGTGATAAGTTGTACGCAATTGTCTTGATTGCACAGGCAGCCGTGCTCACCTGTTTCCTGCCAGCAAAACCTTTGTGTCGGTTCTCGCAAAGTTTTCGACAGCGACCGCGTAGAGCTTTTGCATCGGCAAGTTGAAGCACACAAACGTGGACGTCGTGTCGCCGCGAAAAAGGCGTGTGCCATCTGCAGCGAGTTGCTACGGGCCCCGTCGTCCGGCATGGAAACAGTCCACGCGTGTGTGTTTGAGTGCGGCCATTGCTACCACCTCCCGTGTCTCGAAGAAAAGATGCGTATGTGGAAGAGCGCCAAAGCCGTAGGGTCGAACGATCTAAACCGCGCATTAGGCTGCTTTGTGTGCGACCACAGCACGCGCGCATACGCTCGTTCCAGTGATTATCATCAGCTGAATGCAGAGCTGACTGCTCTGGCTGTACGAGGAGTCTCCGAAGTCCAGCTGCAGCGAGCAAAGGACAGCATCCTTAGCTCTACCAATGCAGCCGAAGTCCAGCTGCAGCGAGCAAAGGATAGCATCCTGAGCTCTACCAATGCAGCCGAGTGACTGCAGAGAAGCTAGTAATGTGGTCACAATGAAGAGGATGAGCGACAGCGCAATTTTAACGATTTCAACTTGCACGTGCCCATATTCGCATGATTGGTTTTATTCATCAGCGACCTCACTGCAGTTCAAATTCCGAAGCAAATAAACCTGCACTGCTATCAACCAACGAGTCGTAAACCGTACTCATAGCTCTTGTCTGTCTGTCCGTTATCCCTCAACGTCGCCACTTGGCTTCCATCTCGTCCAAGATCGTGCCACGGTCCATATCAACACTTACTCGTCGTCCTCGTCTCCTGCACCAGCAGCTGCACGCTGCGCTGCACGACGACGCGCAACACGTCCTGGACGTCCTTGTCCGTACGGCGACGTGACAGCAAAGTCAATGTGCTTCTCCGAGTCCATGCGTACAAGGAACGACGGCACGTCCACGAGCTGCTTGCCCACGCGAATGTGGCGCTGTTTGATCAGCACTCGCGCGTGGTGGATCGACTTGGCCAGGTTCTGCTTGAACACCTTGGTCTGGAGACGGCGTTCGAGCAGCTTCTGCACGTTCAGACGCAGGACAAAGTCCAGTTCGTTCTCGTCTTCCGACAACATGCCGTAGCGCTTGAGACGACGCAGCAGCGCCGAGCCTTCAAACAGTCGCTTGGGGTCTTTCGGGTCCAGCGTCAGCAGCTCCCGCGCCGCTTTACGGAGCTTCGAGAGCGCGTACTGCACGCGCCAAATCTCGCGTTTGCAACGGAGTCCGTACTCGCCCAAGAGCTTGAGCTCCTGGTCGAGACGTTCCTTTTCAAAGGCACGAGACGGCGTGCGGTACGTCTTGCGGTAGTTGCGATGGCGCGAGATCTTCGGCATCGTGGCTTAGTGAAGAGGCAGTGGGGAAGTGGGGTTCAAGTACCGACAGCTGATGCGCTAGAGAAAAAGCAGACGACACCCGTCACGACAACGACGTTGGGCTTGACGTACGAGTGACTGACTGGCGAGCAGGAGGATGTACGTGGGTGGATCGCACAGCACCCCGCGCAGCTGTTTCGACAAGACTTCGGGGAGCCACCAATCTAAAGCAGCCAATCATAGAGACATGCGACGAGGGGTTTAGCCAATCGGCGACGTAGGTTGTCAATGCCGGCTTTTCGACGAATGAACAGGTAGGCACGTGGTGATTCACGTATTGGATTGGATGAAATCCAAACCGAGCGCGGTTTGTGGCTCGCACGACGGCCGCATGGCGATGGAGTTCATCTTCTAGTCTTCTAAACGCAGTCGTCGAGGATGGACAAGGGCAAAGCCGCGATGGAGAACATGAAAAACCTCAAAATGCCTCCTGGCAGTAAGGGACCAGCGACAGCTCTGGTTAAAGTCGCTGTGGCCACGGGCGCCGCTGTCTATGGCGCGTACCTTTCCATTTATAACGTACCCCCTGGCCACCGTGCTGTAGTCTACAGCCGGATTGACGGCGTGGGGCAGCAGGTGATTGAGCAGGGCACGCATTTCCTTATACCTTGGCTCCAGCGTCCACTCATTATGGACGTTCGCACGCGTCCACGCACGTACGCGTCACTCACGGGCACGAAGGACCTGCAGATGATCAACATCTCGATCCGTGTGCTCTCGAAGCCGGACCGTGCTCGTCTGCAGTGGCTGTACCAGAATTTGGGCATGGGTACGACGGTTGATTGGGATGAATGATGTTTTTTATTTTATGTGCTGGATGCTGGGTTATTCATTTATAGAGGTGTTGGATGGGACCATTTGCTGGCTATAGATTTCGACGACAAGGTGTTGCCGTCGATCGTGAATGAAGTGACGAAACAAGTGGTTGCGCAGTTCACAGCTGCTGAACTCATTTTCCAGCGTGACCACGTGAGCCGTCTCATCATTGAGAACCTGGTACGTGCTGTAGACACTAGAAGTTGTTGGTACCGGGAATTGGTACAATTTGGAGATGCTCACAAGTGTATGTTGGTACGGAATAGAAACGGCGTGCCGATCGGTTTGCGATCATGCTGGAGGATGTGTCGATCATCCATTTGACGTTTGGCTCCGAGTACACGGCTGCTATTGAAGCCAAGCAAGTGGCGCAGCAAGATGCTGAGCGCGCTCGATTTGTTGTGGAGCGTGCGATCCAAGAGAAAAAGAGCACGGTCATTCGCGCTCTTGGTGTCGCCAAGTCGGCGGAGCTAGTCGGTGAGGCCATTCAGAAAAACCCAGCCTTTGTGCAGTTGCGTCGTCTGGACGCTGCAAAGGAGATTGCCACTGTCATTTCGCGCTCGGCCAATAAGGTGTACTTGACCTCGGACTCGCTGCTGCTCAACATCCTGCACGACACGGATCAGTCTTCGTACGTGATCTGGCCGCTGTGGTCCTTCGCTTGCTTCGTTGTGGATCGTTTTGATTAATGTTTAATGTGACTATGGTGGGTCTTCGGCAGGTTCAGCAAGAAGAAATAAGCCGATGACGGCAGGGCCAGCTGTGACGTTGAGCTATGCAGACACGCTTTTTTGCTTTACGATAAGCCAATGGCAAATTCGTTGATGAAGGCAGATGCGTTAATTGAAAAGACAATCTCTTCACTCGAAAGGCGGAGGCTCGTGACGTGAAATGCAGCTAGGTCATGTGATAGGGAGGCATCTCATTCCCACGGTCCTTAAACACGTGCACCAGGGAGTCTGGCGTTTTGCCGACGGACTGCTCATTCTTCAACCATTGTTTCCTGTCAAGCGGCAAGCACTGCAACTCTGACGATGGACACTACGACGGACATTGCTGTTCCCTCTTCATTGTGCAGGAATTAAGAATTGGAGTCTATCCTTCCAACCGTTCTGGCAGGAAATACGCCTTAGCTCAACGCCATTGTTCTTGATAATCTTGACGACGGTAGAGGTCCTGCAGTATTTCTTACTTCTAAGTCGGAACAACTTAACAAGAGCATTTACTCAGCGACTAGGTTGAAGGCTGGCTTCTTCCTCGTGGCAGTTGGCGCGCGTAGCTGCGTAAAGCACTGTCGTTGATTCGTAGAGCTCACCGCGTGTCGATTTCATTCGTTAGCTACGTGTGGCTGCCAATACTTTTTCAGATAGAGCAACCTGATCAGCAAAGCCAGTCGCTTCATAGATGGCATTTGAATATGCGCTGACCGCTCTCGGTTTCTCCAGCCTTGTCATGCTTTTCGATACGTTGGTGTCTCGTGACGGACTTGCACAAGTTGACTTCTTTCGAGGTCGCTAGGTTTTGGCCGTAAGTTCGTGGCTCTCTTTAGTATCGCGATATGTTGATGCAACTACTAAGGTCTGCAGCGTCCAACACCGAGACTGTCTTCGATACAGACGCATTCTGCAGCACAGAAAAAACAAACAGCAGCGGCCGCATCGCTATGATCCGTTCAAGTGATCGTAGTGCTATGTCCACATTGAATACGAAAAGCGAGAATTCTTGCTCGTGTGCTTTCCGTTCATTCCTAAACATTCAGCATCACACTAGATTGACAAGGCAGAGAAGAGGTCTTCTTTAACCAACAATCCAACTACGTGACGAGGTACGAAAGCAAGTGGTTGACGTTTGTGTCTTCAACATGCAGTTACAGCGTAAACTGTACCTCGCGTACGCCACCACGATAGCGACAGCATCTACGCTGAATACCAGATAAGAAAGAGCCAAGGATCATAAGCTTCAGTCCATCACGCAAGCTCTAGAGAAGAGGGTGGGGACGAAATGAACATTGTGGAAACACGAATGCGATATTGCTTCCTGGAAAGAGAGTGAGTACACGCAGCGCAGCAGATTGGTTGCACGTGCATACAGAAGACAACGGAGTAGCAACACAATGATATGAACAACATGAACGAGTATGTATTGATGAAAGGGTTATCTCGATCCACTACTCCCGTGCCGTGGCTGTGACAGCTCAACCCATAGAGCATGCGATACCGTTGAAACCCTGTACCCCAAAACCTGTTGACACAACAGCGCACACCGTTAGCCTCTCGCTGAACTCAACGCTGAGTTCGTGAATGAAGCAGACAGTCTGACCTACCTCCCTTTTCGTCCCACGCATTTGCTACGAGTCCAGACAGCTCCCAATCTTCGAACTGAGCTGCCAACAAGTGCTTCACTCGCAAGATTGACGCACTTAGCTCTGCCACTAGAACCTTTGGTCATGACGATTTTGTCCGTTTAGCCCCTCCTGGCCGTTGATGTTGTCGCCTCCTGTACGCGTTTCAAGCCGACTTTGCCTCTAACTTTATCCACGTTTTCGGACCCGAACGCTTTCGTGAGTGCATCAAGTACTTCTTTCGACGGTTCGGGTTTCGACCTTGATTCGTACACGAAGATGGCAAAAGCCATGCGTTGGCCAATAGAAAGGGTTCCAAACGTTCCTTCCTCTACGTTCTTTGCGGCGATCGCGCCGGAGCGTTTTGCACCGGGTTTCGTGATCTGCTTCCAAAACAACCTACATCCCTCCCTAACGACGTCGTCGGGGCTTTTTGCACCGGTTTCCATGACCTGCTTCCAAAACAACGTCATTTCCTCCTTAACGACGTCGTCGGGGCTTTTTGCACCGGTCTTTGTGATCTGCCGTTTAAACGGCCTTATCCCCTGACTAGCGACCGCGCCGGAGCGTTTTGCACCGGAGCGTTTTGCACCGGTCTTTGCGATCCGTTGTCCAAACAGCATAATCTTGTCCTTAGCAGCCGCATCGGGGCGTTTGGCATTGGCTTCTATGACCTGCCCAAACAGCTTTATCGCCCCATCCTTACCGACCGCGTTGGAGCTTTTTACACCGACTTCCATGATCTGCCCAGCCAAGTTTACCCTCTCTTCACCGTCCGTGACTCCAAAAGTTCGCAACCTCCTTTTGGCAACGGTGTCGTCGGTGTCAGTGACAGTCGCCGACGGTGAGTGGGCAGCGACTGTCGTAGAAAAAGCGGACACCTCCGAAGAACTCTTGGAGTACGCCAGGAAGGCTGCTGTAGCCGCGAGGCCGGTGACGTAAATGCGCATCGGTGACTGTCGCTTGCAGTCGATGTACCGGTGGGGACGCAAATTGCGGAATGACAATTGTTCGAGATCAGCCAAGGCTCGAAGCAGGCTGTCGACGGTGCAAGCTCGACGTTTTCGTGTCGAACGCTCAGGCTCTTTTGATACTTCTCCTTGTACCGCAGCAAGCCGCAAACCTCCAATCGTGCTTTGTGCCCATGGCGTCGTCTGTATCTACGATGACGTCCGAACAGCTTATCAAACCACCACTTACAGTTGCCCAGTGTAGGCAAGATGCTTTCCAGCGACTGGTCTGGTCGTGGTACCTCGAGCTCTCATGGGAAGGGAAAAGTGGACTTCAACGAGGTCGCTTGGGAAAAACGTTGTCGTCTGTTGTAAGCAACTGGCTCGGATGACCAGGAAACACGTACTTTTTGGTGTCAAGTACGTCCTCAATTCACGAATAACTAACGACTGAAGTTTCCAGGAAGTGTGATCCGAAACCGGATCCACAATGTGGGTGCTCCGAAGAGCCGGGGGCGAGGGCAGCGGAGGTCAGAGACATCCAACCCAAGCCAGATTCGAGCCTATCTTTCAAGCGCTCTCAGTGCAACGCTGCCCTATGCAGCAGAAGATATCAAGACGACTAAAAGGACGCCCAACTGAATCGGTGACCGCTTAGCGCGGCCAGCCGACCTATAGCGCGGCCAGCCGACCTATAGCGCGAGAAACCGAAGTTACCTTACGCGCCGGGAGAATGCCATTAAAATTAGGTACAGACTCTTTTGTGGCCGCTAAAGCGACCGTCCGGGCTGGATGTCGCTATCGTCGAGGCGATAACGATGGCGAGGGAATGCCTACCCGCCGTATTTTATGCCTTAGAAACCGGTCCATCCGCGATGGTGGGCCTCCGTGTGCCGCTTGCGCGGCCCTCGACGTAGAGTGTAGCCACCGAAGTAACCACGAGGCGTGGGAAACGCCAACCCGCCGTAGTATCTCCCCGAAGAGCTCATCCATCAGCGATGGTGGCTCCCATCAACCGCTCGCGCGATTCGTCGGTCCACTGCGTCCACACCTGAGACTGCGAGTGCAGCTTGCTCGAGGCCGAACTTAGACCCGTTCGGCTCCCCATTGGGAGGAATCCCCCCAAAGTGGCCGCCCTAAAGGGGTAAGAAAAGACTGGCTGGAGCTAAACCTTGGAAATTTGGGAATGGAGGAAACACGTACTTTGTCGACTACTTTGAGGTGAGACTAGCAAAGCCCTTGCTCTGCCATACATCTCTGCAGACTAAAGCGATTCCAGGCAGCCACTCGGCCGCACAAGGAGGCACGAAGCTGCTTTTGTGCTCTCTAAACTTCCTTGCAGATAGAGATCTGTGCCAGGACACAAGAAGGCGACGGTCCCTCTAATGGTCCAGGACACCACTGGAGAAGGTGCAGTTCCGCCGACGGTCTCTCTAATGGTCCAGGACACCACTGGAGAAGGTGCAGTTCCGACGACGGTCTCTCTAATGGTCCAGGACACCACTGGAGAAGGTGCAGTTCCAACGTTGTGGTCAAACGTGCGGTTGAATACAGCTGCTGCTATCTTCGCACGATGCGGGAGCTCAATATCACACAGACACCTGCGTGCTGCCAGTAAACAAGGGCACGTCTGCTGTGATGCCGAAGCAAAGTACACTGGTTACGGTAATTAGTGTGGGCAGCTGAATATCGTGTTACTCATTGAATATTGTGGGCTACAGTGTAAATTGTGCGGTACTAATTGCCGTATTTCTGCTAACGCTATATGAAGTAAATTAGTGGGTTTTACAATGCCGCAAGTTGGGACGTGAAACGATCGGTCTGGATACGAACGGTCCCGGCTTCGATTTCTTCGGTAGCAAACAGAGTAATAAAACATTTAGAAATTAATAATTTAAAAAGGCTTAAATTAAAAGAAAGGTCTCACGTAAGAGCAACTTTGTTGCGTTGTCACTCGCCGAAATCAGCTCCGCGTACCCACACCGTTAGACACGCCTAAAATCGTGCAGTCAGTGGTGCCAGGGTTGAGGGTAGATTCATGGATAATTACATAATGAGGCACGGTGTGGTTTAGACATCTCTTAGAACAAGCAAACATCTTCAAGTACACAAGATGGAAAATAATATATTCATGCATTCTGTATCGCAGCCTTGGCTGACCTATAATTGGAAGTAAACTGAATCACGAGCTATCTTGGACAATTCTTCCACCACTGCTGCTTCATATGGTACTAGTGTCCCCTCAATGTGTGCACGATGGTTGTTAATAATCATCTGCAGCTCAGGGAACTATCGAGACTCTTGCCACTCGCCATCCAGATCAAGTCCAAGACCGCATCGTATCATTGCCTTGCGTGCATACGACACGCCGTTCTTGTCCTTCATTAAATATACGGCACGCACGGATTCAGCAGCCAGTTCAAAAAATAGATCCTTCTAGGGTTGGACAACTTGCCGGACGATCTCGGACCAGACCGCCAAGCACCATGCTCAAATCAAACGAAGTTTTTCCAGCTCCCACTTCTCTCTTTCACCCTGCTTGATCTTTTATATGATCCATGAGTCACAAGGCTGGCACAAATGTGTTGAATTTCTGAGGAGCTCACGAATCATTGCGTTGAGCTGTTTTAACGCAGATTGTTGTTCTGGACTCTCGTCGTGGCCACCACAGTTGTCCATGAATTGCACCCGTGAACTATCTGGGTAGATTACCCGACGTTTTTCTAAATACTATGGACCATAACTTGCTTGTCCATCCATCCTTTGGGTCCGGTCCGAGAAGCCACGCCTGGAATATCGTCCGGTATACCGCGAATCGGATAGTATCGAGATTCGATTTGACATTCACAAATGCTGGCTCAAGTCTTGCAAATTTCCCGCCACGAATTCGAGCCACCATATTCATTTCAACACCACCTGAGGCAACATCAGCAGATTTCACGTTTTCGTTGCGGCGAAGACCTAGACTCTTATCATTGTCAACATTGACGGTAAAATGAGTTTCGCCAAGATTTTAACAAAAGCTTCATCCAGATTTCCACTTATAAAATCACGTGCAACTTGGCCAAGATGACAGGAGACCCGTTTTTCAATTTGGAGCTGAGTGGCTGGGCTTGTCATAAGTTTGCCAGTCTGGGTGCAAATGACGACGTTGTTATACTCTTGAAAAGACTGAATCCATCTTGGTGTCATGCGCTTGTCAAGCGTTTCCCATTGGGCAAGCTCATTGCGGTACAGAACCTTTTTTGGAATGACACGGGGAAGCACCTAGTGGAAACATTCGTCAGTGGTGGTTCTGATTCACCTGAATGTCGTTGTACGGTATCAATTCAGGTCAAGGCTTCGGGGCAGTCACCTACGACTCCTTTGTCCATGGGACAGGTTATGTCTGCTGGCGGGTTTTCCGCTACCCCAGCTACGGTGGTCATGGCACCTGGTGAGCGTATCAAGTGTTTGCTGCAAATCCAAGCGCAGGCTGTCGAACGTGGTGAACCCAAGCTGTACAACGGCATGGTGGATTGTGCCAAGAAACTGTACCGCACAGGTGGGCTATCGAGTATCTTTCGGGGCTGGGAAGCTACGCTGTTGCGTGATGTGCCTGGGTAGGTGATCTTGGTGACTTTGCATTGTGACTGCCGAGTGGTGACCTCTTGTGATACGTTTCTTGTGTTTTTCTTCCAGTCGGTGGGATACTTTGGCGGTTTTGAGGCGATTAAGCGAGGTCTGACACCCACGGGCAAGGATCCGTCTGACTTGAACGCCTTCCGCGTGTTTGCGGCTGGCGGATTTGCAGGTATCATCAACTGGGTCATTGCTATTCCGCCCGATGTGATCAAGTCCCGCATCCAGACCGCGCTAGAAGGCACGTACCGTGGCATTGTGCACTGCTTCCAGGTGCTCATGAAGCAAGAAGGACCAGGCGCACTGTTCACCGGCGTGGGGCCTGCGATGGCACGCGCGTTTCCAGCGAACGCTGCCTGCTTTCTCGGTGTCGAGTTTTCCAAAAAGGTTCTCGGCTTCTTTGACATCTACTAAGTGCACAAGTACTAGAGCAAGTCAACGAACAATCAAGACTCGACATCACATTTGTCTCTGGTATTGTAGCCCTTTTCGTGTCTGTATACACGAAACTCAAGGTTGTTCAGCACGAAAAGACACCAACAGTGGCACGAGCTATGACGATCTCAATCAAGTTTCCAGCTGCATCTCGATAGTGCTGGTTATCACTTGAGAAGACTCTTTCGAGAAAAAGCGTCATTGACTTCAGCTCGCGGTTCATCCGTGCCACGGTACAACGTGTTGCTATAGAGCTCGACGACGTCGCTGCAGTTCAAATGAACAAATGCAACAGGACATCAACCAGTGTAAACAGTTTGTCAACAACAACCCGAAAAAAAGCAGCGTAAATAGGAAACAAATGAACAACATTTTGCCCGCTACCGACACAACGAGACGTACGAAATGCGCTTGAGCTCTTCATTTGCCTGAACAATAGCAGCTTCCTGCGCCAAGAGCGACGTGTCAATGCCAGGCAGGGACCGCAGCAGCTCCAGTGCGTCATCGTAATTCTGCTTCACTGCTACTGCCTATACATAGGCCATAGCCAAAGGCAGGCACAACCCATTTGCAGAAAGCAACCAAGTAACCACTGGTCAACCTGAGCTCGACCCTCTCCTTTTTGATCATTTGTTGTTCCTCAAAGGTCATTTTGTACCGATGCGGACACGTCTCCAATCCGAACAGTCTCCTGGGTGGCAGAGGTGGCGGACAGCACGTCTTTGAGCACGTCAATGAGGTGCGGCAGCACGTCAAATGTCGCATACAGCGTGGCTTGAGATGTCGCCATTAGGCTGGAAAAAGACAAGTAGGCTGGCTACCGGTTCAGCTTCCATCGGTGACGCGAGCGATATGCGCGTGGACAGTTTCATGCTCGTCGAGAGGTTCGACAACCGCGCAACCTTCGTGCACCATTTACCGTCCACATCCGGTACCAATAGGCCACGGGCAAAGCAGCAACCAACCTACGTACAAAAAATACGCTTTGTATAAAAAGACAAGCCACTCACAACCTCGATGGCTGGACGAACTTCATGGGACAAACGATGCACTCACTGCATCGCTAGCAAAAGACTGTGTTGAGGTTTACACGTGTTGAAAACCACTGCTGCTGCTTCAGCACTTCGTAGGCTCCGTACACTGATCCTATCGATCACTTGGAGCGCTCAGAAAAACTCCACTTACTCTTGCTTCGCAACCGGCACCGCGGCCGTCTTCTTCGACTTGCGCTCACGAGCAGACTTGGCTTTTTCCTTGCGGGCATCCGACTGCTCCTTGAGCGTCTTTTCACGATGACGCTCCGCCTTCATCTTGTGGATCGTCTCCATGAGCACGCGCTTGTTCTTGAACTGGTTACCCTTGCTGCGCATGTAGAGTTCGTGGTAAATGTGCTTGTCAATCTTCTTGGCTTCGCGGTACTTGCGAAGGAGACGACGGAGCACGCGAATGCGACGCATCCAAATGACCTTGAACGGCAGACGGGCGTTGGCCGTACCGTGACGCTTACCAATGCCCGTGTGGCGGCCTTTGCGCTTGGCTTCATTGCGCTTCGTAAAGCGCGCCCGCGAGTGGATCACCTGCGGCTTCTTGATCACAAAACCATCCTTCACAAGCTTCCTGATGTTCTGGCGCGAGTTGGCCAGGGCGATTTCGTTCGACTCGTTCGGGTCGAGCCAGATCTTGCGCTTGCCGCACTTGAGCACGGACGCAGCCAGACTGACAGAGAGAGAGAGAAAGGAGAGATTCAAGAAGGGAGTATGTCAACAACCTGTACTGGTACATATATCGTTTAAAGATGTGGGAGCTGGGAGCTCGAATCAACGTACCGCTTCTGGAGTTTGAGTGACACTATTGCCTTCCTTCTTTCAAGTTGTCCCAGAGAAAAAGTAGTGAAGGAGCAAGACGCTTCGTGGCGGGATGGACGTACACAAGGCGAGCGCGAGCTGATAGGTGGTATACAAACGACAAGGGACGAAAAGAGCTCCTGGTTTTAGAGACGGTTTGATAGTTTCTAATGGAGGTTGGGACTTAGTGACAGAGCGCTTTTATTCGGAGCTAGGCAGATATGTCAAGTGACAGGCTGACGTGTTATGTGAAGGGTCGACTCGCCGTTTAGTTGAGCGAAAGTGCAAGTGCAGGCTTCGTTCGATCTGCAGGTTGTACAGTGTAACTAGAATATCGTCGCTCAGAGGATTGCTCTTCGAACGCTTCATGTGCACCACACAATTGTAGCCAGCCGCAGACCACGAATGCGCACCTTCCGTCCACCTTCCGTTAGAAATCCATGGATACCACACATATCCCGTTTCTAACCTGGATAGTCGCTCAAAAGCCAACCAAAGCCCTTCCTTGTCAGTCGCCTCTTCTCCCACGAAGTCGCGTCCTCGAGCAACATGAGCGGCTGGAACTCCAACGACCAGTGGCAGGACTCGAGTGACTCCCCCTCTTCCGCATCGGACTTTGGCTTCGACTCGAGCGCCACTCACGGCCTCGAGTTTCCTATTCTCCCCACCATCCCCTCTGGGAGCATTGACATCAGTGCCATCGCTCCGGTATTTGGCGTGTCATCCTACGACGACGACGCTGCCGACTACTTGGACTATGACAAAGCCGGGCGGCCCTTTATGGAGCAAATGAGTGGCTCATGTGGTACTGCCTACTTCTCTGGCATCCTTGGTGGAGGGGCGTACGGAGCCATGCAGGGCTTCTCGCGCTCGCCCAGTACCAAGTTTAAAATCCGGATGAACTCGCTCATGAATGGTGCTGCAACGCGCGGCTCGAAAGCTGGCAATGCACTGGGCTGTTTGGGTGCGTGGGAAAATGATCGATGTAGCCTACTGTACACTTGTTACTGTGTGTGCGTCGGGGTGTGACGTGGTTATGAACACGAAATGTACTGACAATGGATGGTGTTCTGTGTGTGAAATTGCTACTGCGGCTACAGCTATGATCTACAAGGCGTTTGAGTTTGTGGCGGACTCGGCTGAGATCGAAAACATTGTGAAGCTTGACCAGGTGACGCCTATTCTAGCATCGGCAGCCACTGGTGTGTTCTACAAATCGACCGCAGGTCCTAAGGCCATGGTGCTGGCTGGTGCGCTGGGTGCTGGGCTCATGACAGTGGTACAGTTTGGTATCAAGCCGTTTTACCCACGACTTTAGAAGCTCTTGTCAATATTAGCTGCTGCTGCTGCTGCATTATGTTTCGATCGTCACAAGGTGAAGTCGGTAGCTGCAAGCGTCTCCTAGAGCAAGCTTGCTGTCAGAAGTCGGATGCTTTTGGTCGCGAACGAGGAAGTGTTGTTATTTAGTGTGGTACACACTATGGCCACGCACACACAAGCTCTTTGATCTAACTCAATCCAGTACATGTCGTTTATAACCGCTACTTCAGCGCTCACTGCGATAATTGCACGCGTCAAGCACCGAATTACGGTCGGTTTGCGTCCGACCCGACGTCGTTTCCAGCTCGCTCGCGCCACTTTTGAAAACTACTTCAAACGTTTATAACCCACACTCGACTGCACGAATGCTCACGTCCGAGCTGCTCGACCTCAAGACCGAGCTCCAGTGCACGTTAACGCGCTTAAGTAACGCGCTCACCACGTCTGAAATCAACGTGGACCCTCGGCATCCGTCACGCACAGCAGCAATTACAGCAGCAGCAGAAGAGCGTCCACGACGTGGGCGTCAGACGAAGCGGTCAACGCGATGGGATCGACTGCACGAGTTGAGACGAAAAGTAACTGCAGCGTCGATCGAACGTCGAGCGCTGGAGCTGCAGTTGCAACTTCAGCGACAGACTCCGGACTTGATGCAGGAGTTACTTCAGGACCGACGGCGGTGTGCGGGGCAAAGGGCGATCGCGCAGCTGCAGGAGCAGCAGGCGCAGATTCGACGGGAGCTTGAACGTGACAAGGAAGAAAGGGGAGTGGACGAGAGACGAGAGACGGAAGGCAGTGGAGGCTGTGACGGGTCCAGTGGGAGGGAGACGCAGATGAGGTATTCTATTGGTGGAGTCGTGACGCTCGAGCCATTGAGTTCTTTGGAGCAGGAGAAGCAGAAGAAAGAGAAGAACAAGAAGAAGGAGAGGTGGCAGCAACTGCCTCGACGAGGGGTTACAGTGGCGTGTTTACAACCGAAGGCGTCGCGTTGTCCAGCTGTCGATGAGGAGGAAGAGGTGAAGGAGGACGGTCGTGGTCGTTCTTCTGCTGCTGCTGCTGCTTATGAAAGAGATATGCATGCTCGTTGGAGAGCACACTATCCAAAGCCGCCAGACGCGTTGACTGACGTTTTCAAGCTGCAGTTAAAGTTTGCCGAGACGATGCTGAAGCTGGAGAAATCCGTGCGGATGCGTGATCAGTTGCTCCAGGATAGCTGGACGACGAGTATGCAGAAAAGCAGGACCGGCACGAAAAAGAAAGGAAAGGCGGGGCAAGCCCGTCATTGTTGCAGACAGGCGGTACGGTCTGGTGAGAGTGAAGTTAGTAGTGACGCATCGGTCAGCTCACCTTCGTCTTCGTTTTCCTCTCTGGAGTCGACGCCTGACTGTAGTCAAACTATACGGATACAGTATCCGAAGTTTCGAGTTTCAAAGGCGACTACGGATGAGACGCTTGTACCGACTTCATTCGATGCAGACAACTCACCTAGTGGGGAGCTGACCGGTTTGGCATCGATATCATCAATCGCTACGTCATCTCATGGTTCTATCGAGGAAATGCAAAATGTTGATGCCGCACGTGGACAATTTGACGGACAGGAAGCAGAAGCTTACGAAACTCCTACGACAGGGAGCAGTGGAACGACTCCGACCACTGGGAGTGACCAGAAGGATACATCTTCAGTGTCAAAGCAGGTTCGCTTCGGCGAAGATGCGTACTCTACCCCGGTGCTTGCTCGTAAGTTTAACTTCGATGGACCGTCTATCGATGACGATGACGATGAAGAGAAGGAGCAGAAGGAAGAGAGTGAGAGCATCTTCAGTTTTCTGGGGGGATCTAGCGTTAGCAGCACGGAGCTGAATGATGTATCCCTTTTGCGGGCCTTCGAGCGCTTCCGTCGCGAGCTTAATGCGTCTGAGTTGACCAAGCCTCCTGTCGACCCTCCGCTTGTGCGAAAACTGTTTTCAGAACCCAGTGTGGCAGAGGCCGGGTGTGAACCGGTAAACATCAAATGGCCTGATGCAGAAGGGGTCCAGGATAGTGGTGTTGAATTGATTGCTGAAGCTGATGACAGCATTGTAACAATATCAGCACTCGCGGGTTTAAGTATCGCAGAGTTGCAGGAACGACGCAGGCAACTTTGCTTGGACATCCAGGCCGCGAGTGCTCAACTTGTCCTAAACTCTGGCAGGGTGCTAGACGTGACTGGATCAAGGGAGGTAAATCAGACCCAGAACCACTTGGTATCGATGAGAGGTGAACTCAAGCTGATCGATACACGATTGAGAGCTTCGTCATGTAATCCAGTTCTGCCTTGAGCAGATACGACAGTGTCGTAACCTCGGTCCATGCACGCTCAGATTCTTGGATCCAGTGCAAATCTTTGCCATGCGCGATCAGCGACGAAGAGATCGACATGCCTGCTCTAATGATGCAGCAGCGATCGGATACAAAGGCTGGCCGTAGAACAGCAGACAGGAGCATGCTCTCACGGACATCTGATTGTACCAACACCTTCAGCGAGTAAGAGGGCTACGTGACACCCGTTACACATTGACGGACGCGCAGCGGAACCTTGTCTTTGTCGGGTGGTTTTCTTTGTTCTTCAAGACGTGCGTGTAAGCTTGTGGGATATTTATGCCAATGCAAGCTTCGCATCACTGGCCATGACACTTGCTGTGCAATGTGTTCGTGAAATTTGTCGATCCAACACTCAATTCGATGCCACGGCCTGACCGCGACTTGATTTACAGAGCGATGCAGCAGACAATGTACAACTTGGGAGGCACATATGAGGTGATAACAACCAACGAGGATGAGATGGGAAGCAGAAGCAATTGGTTGCAGCTGTGATGATTTACGTGACGTTGAAGGATGGGAATGGGTGACCATGCAAATAAGGAGGATTGTGGACACTTTTTCGTTCTAAGCTGTCACTTCTTGTGTAGCAAGTGCTCTAGCCGACGGAGTGCCCATATATGACTGGTGTGGGTGGTACAATATCTGATTTCTCGGTTGCCTTCGTTCACTGCCAAGCTCGCATCGACACGAGTTGTGGGCAGATGACAGTCGGGCTAGCATAAGACGTCGCTGATGGAGTTGAATTGAAGTGACATGCGTTGCGCAGTCTGTATGTTGTTATATTATTGTGAACGTGGCACACTTGTACACCACCATACATGTACTGTTTTGCCGCTTTGGACGATCATTTGTGCGTGATACGCCGACCGCCAAGAGGTATCAATCCAAGACAACATGTTGTATTGACTGTTGCATCGAGTACCGCAGCGACACGGAAGCCCGGGCAACGAGTCAAACGAGGGGATCAAGTGGTCGTTGGCCCACAAGCTGGGATGTCACGTTTGGCCAGCCGATAACACGTTGACAAGCTTTGCCTGCTTATACAGGCTCGTGAATCCGATGAAACGGTTGAGATCGAAGTGGTCCAGTAGCTTTGACCCCAGCCCGCTGGGCCTCAACATACGCATGGCGTCGTCCGATGTCTTGCCCGATTCGATCAATGCGTGACCATCAAGTCAGCGAGATTCGGATATTTCTTCGCCATCGGGCCCATTCTTTTCATCAGTATATTCGTCAGAGAACCTTCAGAATCGGCGAGAGAGTGAGGTCGTGATTGGGAGATCTTTCTGCTCCTTGTAGGCGCGCATGAATTAGAATCAAATGCCCAGGTTCGGGCTATCGAGCATCTTGCCACCCGCTGCGTCGATACCCAGAAGCACTCCAGCGTGCTCAGGGCTTTTGCAGAGCGCAAGCCCGATCGATTGCTGCAATCGAGTAAACTGGTATTATCTGAAGACGGTGGACGAATCCCGTAGTTTCTTCGCGACCGCCGAAGCCGTTTTTACTTTTCTCCCAACAAGGCCGGCAAGAAACGATACAGACACGTATCTGTCTTCCTCCCCCGAGTTATCGTTCTCTTCATCATCTGCATTACATGCAAATGCTATTTCACAGGTACGTCTCGGTCGTCAAGTAAATACAGTAACGGTTTTCCGCATTTCTGAAGCGATGGGGAAGGGAAAAGCGCTAACCAACCTAGATCGTGAAAGGATCCAGGGCTTGCATGAAGCAGGCCTATTAGGGTGCACCATCGCGCATGCTGTCAATCGGCCACGTAACGCAGTAAGGCGTGTTGTGAGCGGTCACGTCGGCCGCATTAGCACTGACAGATAACAAAATCTGTCTGGTAGTGCTCTTCGTGTGCTGGTTCGCACGGCAGCAAGCGAAAATTTCTGAGCGACACAGCTACATCATCAGCTCGAGCTGAAGTGCTCGGTGAGCACTGTGCGCCGCATTCTCCAATGTGTAGATTGGCGGTCGTATATAAAAATGGAGAATAAGCGTCATCTTTCGGATAAGAATTGAGTGTGTCGTCTTGCATGGTCGGAGAAGATGCTAAATACTTCCCATGACACGGATTTCGATCATTTTTTCTGACAAAAAGAAATGGAACCCCGGTGGACCAGACGGCTTACATCAATGTTGGAGAGACATGCGTGTCTCTATTTGGCAGACATGTCTTCGTCAGATGGGTGAAGGGTCCGTTATGGTTTGGGGTGGGTTTCGCGGAGTCGGAAAGACCAAGCTGGCCATATTGGTGGGGAACCAAATACCAAAACACTGTGTCCACACAGTATTCGAGTATGCGCTGCCTTCTGCTCATCGCAAAAACGGTACAGAGTTTCAATTTCAGCAGGACAACGCGGCAATCATACTTCTTCGATTTCAACGGACTTCTTCGCTGAGCAAGGCGCGAATGTAATGGACTGGCCTGTTCGATCTCCGAATTTAAATCCGATGGAAAATGTGGTGGGCTATAATGTCCAGAGACGTACGCCGAAACGGAAAACAGTACGATTTTGTGTCACCTTTATTCTCGGCAGTCATTTGAGCGTGATAAAACATACAGCAATTAACATTGGTGACCTTGATCGACTCCATGCCGCACCGCTGCATCGAAGTCCTCAGACTGCAGGGAAACAAGACACACTACTAGTCCGATCAACACATTTTATATCCTCATCGCAATATAGAAATGCAGAAAATTAGTAACCGCAATCTAGATATCATCCATTGCTTCAAAGAACTGTCGGCTCAGCCTAAACCGTCTCCTTCTGCAGCGCCAGATGTCAAGGTCGAGTCGAAGAAAATTGACATTTCCAGGCCATTCAGATGGCGTGCCAGCTTGAACTAGAGGTGCCATTTAGGAAACCACCCACAACTGCTCTTTCCACTGCAACATTGGAACAATTTCAGCTGGAAACCTGCAAGTTCAAGAGACCTAGCTTACAGGATAACGTCATCGCGGAAGAAATAGTGTTCCAGATTATCCTGTTTCATCAAAGAGATCAATGGACATCCGCAACCTTCTCCAATGCCCCGCTGAGCAAGTGGTGCTTTGATGCTGAGCGTAAATGACGTGGATGAGCATAAGTGGGCTAAAGTAACAGTCACTGCCTCAAAGGAAGCTGACGACGGAGAGGTGTCGATAGAAGAGCATCCAAAGATCGTCCCCGTCGATGCGCAAAATATACTTCGTACTATTGGAACGTTCCTAATGCAAGAAGATGAAGCCTATCAGAAATTCCTGTGCACTGTGCAATGGATGAGGGACAAGGTCAGGAAGACACATGCCTATCAGACGGTTCAACAGATATATTTGCCACTGATTCATCAGTGATGAGACAGCTCGATTTTTTTTATAGCATGTAGGCGGCAAAAGCGATTTCCATCATATTCTTGCGTCCTTTGTGACAAGATCTTGGACGATGCATCTGCTAGAAATTTAGGAAAATAAAACAATGGTAGAACGTTGAGTTCTCATTGTGATCTTTACTGACGTAATAAGCTTCTGGACGCTAACATGCTCCACAAACACGTGCTTGTAAATTGCATTTCACTGGCACATTCTTCCAACTCAACAACCGCGTGTCATCCATATTACGGAGACTGAGCTTGTGATTGACAACGAACATAATGGCCACCACCATACGGAGCGAACCCGCGATGACGTACGCAATGCCAAAAAGCGCAGTTTGGCCACCGATCCATGATGTGGTAGATATCACGATTGACTTTTCACCCTGAATAAGCTTACAACAAAGTCTGATCACACAATGTAAAATCCTCAAAGTTAGCGCCCTTCTCGCCGCATTCTTGAATGTAAGAAAATGATGCGCAATACTTACTACTAAAAATGATGCACTTAAGTTTCATGGGGCGGAAACTTGGCAGTCCAGCCGTGCTCATCCAGACGACAAATGCTCGTCTTGGATTCGAATAGCAGATATACCTGTCGTCCATGCTATTTTTAGACATTAAATACCTGTCTTCTGTACATGGGGATGATGTAGCGGAGGAGGTGCGAAGTCTACCAAAGCAACATCGTGTCGTCTGCGTACGCAAGCTCGACTATCCTAATTTTTTTGGTTTTTATTTAGACACCCTATTTGTAGGGAATTGAATTCGAAGTGGTCTGGACAGGTCTTTTAAATCAATGATTGAGTAAATGAGGTTTATGCTATGACATGAGCCCCGAGTCGGGAACGAGCCTACCAATTAAATTACTGATACTATTGTTTCAAGTAGATCTAATCTAAAAAGGGTGTGCAGTAGTGGATCATTGCACTGGTGGCTTGTTGTATCCAATCAAAATGTTATCTTGTAATCTTGATCTGTGATGCCCGATACAATTTTAATGATGCTTCCAATAACTTGATACACCTTCCCTGATTCTAACATTTTAATTGATCGTGTAGCGGTATCGCAATTACTCATAGACGACTAGCTACGAAAACGACATAATGGAGAAGATGCAGTTTAAAGCGATTGAATGCGCTCATTATTGCAGACGATTTTGTCTCATTGAATGTTATGATTTGCTCATGGAGCGCAAATAACTTGTTGGGACTTACATGTGCATGCCATATAACATCTACATGTATCTTTCTGCTTCTGAATCATAAGAACGTCGGTCATAGTCCGTTATCATCGAAGAGACTTCTGAGTGGGCTTGTAGTTTGTCATCTGTGAGGTTGAAAGTCTTAAAATGGATGCAGAGATGATATTGGTGTCGCTTTTGTTGGCTTCACTGTGAGCGTCATTTTTGCAGACGACGTTGTTGTTGGCCGCGTCATTGACATACCAAGATTTCCGTCATAATTTATGCAATAAATGTTTGTTTGTTGGCGGGCAAACAGTGGTCATCTGGGGATCTAGCTCAAATGGTAGAGCGCTCGCTTCGCATGCGAGAGGTACAGGGATCGATACCCTGCTTCTCCAGGCGTGTGTAGTATAGTGGTCAGTACCTCACCTTGTGGCGGTGAAATCCCTGGTTCGAATCCGGGCACGCGCACTCTTATGCTAGGTAGACTGACACAAGCTTTGCTCGTTGGGTTGGTGGCTCAACCGCCCTGCCAGTCTTCTGTGCTACTACTAGCAAGGTGTCCGTACATGCTATCGTGCCATAGAAAGTATCCACCACGACCTGGCCCAAGGCTATGACTACGGATAATGTAATTGAAAAGGTGTAGCTCAATTGGTAGGGCACCGGTTGACTGTCAAATGGTATGCTTTGTAAAGGTAAAGCAATTCCTACTTTTAATTCTGCATTTGCTGAACTTTTGATGTATTGATTAATTTGCAAACCTTCGGGTGCTAAAACTAAATAAGATTGAAACCTATTTTTGATATGAGCAATGTTTGCTGAGCGATTGGGACATCTAAATATGACTACATACCCTTCAATATTTTGCGAAGCTCATTGCCTCCCGGCAATTGCAATAAAATTAAATGCGATTGATTTAAAATCGTTGAAATCAGAGTAGATGTATCCAGATTTAGGATGGCATCATCAGAATGAGATTGGGTATCACAGATTAAGTTTAGTAAATTTTTGATTGGCCAAAACAAAGCACCGGTGCAATGACCCACTATCGACTGGTGTGTGTGTGACCTTTCCCAGAACGTGATTGAGATTCCTCAAGTTAAGGATCATTTATATACTCGTGACTTTGAACATTCATTGACACTTGTTTACTCATTTAAACGCTTCTGCCCCTTTTGACCCCTTTTTACCAGCTCCTACGGTTTTTTGACCGTTTAAGCCACTTTTAGCAGTTTTTGCAGGGTGACCAGTTATTGGTATTTCATCAAAAAGCAGGTTCCTCACTATGTCGAGCAACAGAATTGCACTGGGCTCTAATCTTGCCTCAGTCATTGTCACCTATCAATGAATATTACGTTGGAATTTGAGCGCGTTCCAAGAGTTTCTTAGTAAATCTGCAAACGGCAACGATGTGTTGAATCTGGTATCATTGCGATTGAGGTGGGTCCACAAAGACTTTGGTCGGGAAGTGGGCATCTAAGAGCGAATGGTTGTCATCGCTCCATGATTCCTTCGCGGTGCCAAGTTATTATATGGGTGGGCGAAGGCAGTGGATTAGTTGCCACGCAACATCGCTTGTTTATATTGTGCATACAGGAATTGCCCAATTGCCGCTATCTTTATGCTCCGTCGTCGGAAGTATTGCTTAATAATGTAGACGCATCGAAAAATCGAAATTAGTTAGAAATAACTCGTTCTACCCTACCCCTACTAAAACAAATCTATGACAACAGTGTTCTTTTACACTCATTTTCATCACGTAACGTTTCGTTTACTCAATCAGGTAGACACATCACACAATTAGAATAAGTCAGAAATAATTTGTTGTCTTCTACTCATGCTGTAATGAATCGATGACGGTATCGTTTTTTACATTCATTTTCATCATTTTACGTCACGTTTAGTTTATTCATTTTGTTAAAGCCGTGGATACGCATTATTTTGTGACCTGTTTCCTTTGAATTTCTTTATGTCATTGTTATGTGTGTGAATCATCTAGCGTTGTACGGTGCGGCGTATTAGGTTTGCGCGTTGTTCGATGTGCGACAACACATGAGACAATGCCATGCAACACGACCCTTCTCGATTTGAGCAGCTTTTCGTTTGGCGTGAGTGGGTAAAAAAATCGAATAGTTGGCACATCTGTAGGTAGCGTACTGACCACCCTCACCATTTTCTTGATTCACTTTTTGCAGCCTGTATACCATTTGCCATTACTGTGAACTTCCCGTATGTAGCAATAAATGAGATGCTTCAGCTACACCAAAAACATAAGCGATGACTTCAAGTAAACGATTGTCATTTTGTAGGATGTACCTCGACGCACTTTGTGTGGTATGTGAGCGATCTTTTAGTTAACATGTTCCGATTTAGACATCAAAACCCCATGAAAAACACCTTGGAAATATCACGTCTTTCGAACACACTATGGTACTGCGCTAGTTGCACTGAATGCGTCACCAAATGAAAAACTAGGAGGTTTTTAATCACTTGTATCGTCACTTTCATCGAAAAAGTTGCTACTGTTAACGTCGCTTTCAAATGATCAGTATGTACAAAAACAATACGTAATCGTTTTTAACAGGTATGTTCCGATTTTCAGAAGGTTTAAATTACTCACTTCCAAATTAGCATCGCATCTAACACTGCCCTGACAGCTTCGTACAATCTGTTAGATTTGGGAGGATATCGAGCATTTATCACGCAAAGTCTTTCGCGACTGGGTACCGTAGACCTATCAACGACAGGCCGACGGCATGCACGGCTCGACAGATCCAGAGGGAGCGCCATCCGAGCTGAGATGTAGACTGCCGGAATTTGGGTGGACCGGGACCAGCCACGACCATGAGAAAGGAGAGAAGAGCACGAGTGAGACATTACAGCCCTGTTCTGACAGGACAGGGCCCGACACGCTCGTAGATCCGGTCGGAGCTGAGGCTGGGCAAGCAATCTTTACTCCTCATGCAACAGTGTCATCTAAGGTTACGGCAGGCTCTTCCTCTGTGCGCGAGTCGTCTCCTGGTAATGTTGCCAGCGGAAACAAGGAGCATGACGAGCCCAAGGGGCAGAATATCGATGAGGTTCATCCGCAAGAGATGTTTGACGCCGTGGTTGCGGCAACAAAGGCGGCACTAAATGAAGCTCCGAGGTAAGCGTGGACTACGACAGCAGCCACATTGTACGCGACTGCATACAATTCTGTGTCAACCGATGCCAAGCGAGTTCCGTCGGTCAAACCACGCTACCCGGAACTCCATGGGGACGAGAAAGACCTGCTGTTCAAATTTTTTGACGAGGCATGTATATTCAATGAGGGCTCCTTCGCGGACTGGAAACAGTACGCGCAGATGGCAACCTAGGTATTGTACAATACCAGCTGGTCCTTTAAGAACATCATGCAAACATGCTTAGCAAGGTTCAGTGGTCCAGACTCAAACCGCTCAATCAATGGCCATACACTAGTACGGTTTCTGGTGACGCACGTGTTGGAGCCAGCAGCACGCACAACTCCCGGGTCTAATACCTGGATTTTATGTATAACCCCGCCGTACACAGTACGGCGGACATCACTAAGTTACGGCAGTACTGTCTAAACCGGAGGCGACACCGAGTGGGCGTCGGCTCCGGGCTGCCAATCCAGAGGAATGGAGAATAATCAGCGGTCTGTGGGAGGGACTTTTAGTCGGCCGGCGCATGCCAAATTTCTTGAAGAGTGTCTTGGATTCCAAGGAGCGGCTGCGACTTTACCGGACTATTCAGGCGCAAGTGGAGGGAGAACTGATGCAACAGCTTCGTAGTGGGACAAACATTCACGTGTGCAGGCAAAGCACAAGCGCGATCGAGAAAGACAAATTATTAGCGTCCGCAGGATTACGAGTAAATCAATCAGAGCTCCGAAGTCTACATTATGTGGCCAAGACCATCTGTTTCGATCCATTTCACCGCTGGGTTCACTTCTATTTTTGACCGGGATACCGCGTGCAAGTACGAGCTGGCTACTGTACCAATCAAGGGCTTAATGTACCGTGTCAGCAATATGCATTAGCTGCACCAGGGCTCAGTCTGGGCGCTCCAGCTGGGAAAAGATGAAACTCGGATAGCCATACAACGTGAATATACTGTAGAGCTACACAACTTCACCCGATTCACGGATATCGGTCGTTTAACGGCGTACTTGCAAGTATATATCGCAGCTGAGCTCGATTTGGATTATCTAAATGACTGAACATCTGTACACCCAACTCGAGGACGTCTAACGTCTGGAGACTCACAGTGAAAAATGGAGGGATGCCCTAAATTTCTCCGGGGCATCGTCCGCATCATCTTTTATGGACAAACGATCGTTCTCAAGCATTTAGATGTTGGTAGGCGCCCTTAATGTTTTCAATGTAGAAATTTAAGACATACTATGGCTGGGTGCCAATATTCTATGCCACAGTTAAGCAAGCCGGGCAGCAGGGTAGCCGCACAGCAAGAGGTATCCAGGCTTGAAGATTGGATACTACATTCGCCAACATGGAAGAGGTCCACACAATGGCCGACTTACGTCTTCGCATGCAGGCTTAGCAAGACAAGAAGACGCAGAAATTTGTAGAACCCCCGTGGAAAGCTATGGCGTCGGTGGTTTTGTCCCATGATCAGCAAACACCGACCAATATTCCCCCGCCAGAATCTTCTGGTGAACCCATAAGGCCGATGTCCAAAAAATCTTGGGTTACGGTGCTCTTTCGTCGACGGCGGCGGATCCAGTCTCGGCATCAGGCATCATCCACCAAAGCTTTCACCACAGCTTCTCGCTTTGCATATTTCGCGAACGGGTCTGATGAAGATGGCAATGACGCCGAAGGCTCTACAGAAGACTTAATGCTCACTACTACGGCTCCTGAGATATTTTCTGTACTAGACCACGATGAACAGGGTTCGCCAAAGACCACTGCCGCTCAAAAGGCGCGGTACACCTTGCTACAGCGAAATCGCCGAAATTACCAGTGACACCGCAACTAGTCACGCTACAGAAACGGGAACGTGCGGCTTTGGCTGCAGCGGTCAATGATAAACTTCTACGTCGAGGACTACCACTCTCTCTATCCGGCTGTGTTTTCGGATAAAGGCGGACTCTACCTGTACTGGAAGAGGCGCTGAGAATTCGACCAGTAACCACGGCTTCATCCAGTAATTGTCTAGCTATTGCTTTGGCACAGGCGGTAGCTGACCACAATATGGCAGCCTTGGGCGACAACCTCGAAACTGTCACAGCATGCATCAAGCAAGGCTTTCATCGAACGGGACAGCTCAACTATGGGGAGAAGTTTGGCCACTACGTTCGAACAACAACATTGATCAACGTGCGCCGCGGGTGGGACGGCATGGATCCAAGAGAATCATAAAAGCAATTTTAATGGTATCTGGCAGAATATGCTGCCACACGTCCACCCGATAGGCGGTCGTCGCACGCTAGAACTGGGGCTGCAGCAAAAAAAAATTCGATCGCAGCCAATTTTCTACAGCGCGAAATCTTTGTCCTAGTGAGTGAGAAGGTGAGGTATATTTAGGTACGCGTACGACCTGCTATATCCTGTCATCCGGCAACAAAGTTACCTAATCGACCGCTACTTTATATACTAGGTAGCGCTAGTCCTCGCATAGCAGAGCGCCTACGCGCAGACTCCTGTCTCGAGATAATCAGGTTCCTCGAGGTCAGCCCGGGGCCCTGTATGACGAGTTGATGGTCGGCTTGAGAGGTCTCCAACCAATGATTGACATCAGTGTCAAGGAAGTTTGAAGCCTCCTGGACCAGACCTGGGTTCGACATAGCGTGCGTTTGTATAGAAGATCCCATGTCCATAGCGATATTTGCCAGTCGATCCGCCATTTTGTTGAAGGTGCGGTATTGATGTCCCCAGCTGGCGACATCAATATCGTTAGCGATGGCACGTGCTTCGTTGAATAAACGCACCAAGTGCGGCTTGCGTGGAGGGTGTTGTGTTCGGAGTTGAGAAAGTACAAGTGCACTGTCCCCAATGACGTGCAAGGGTGAGTAGTCGCCTGTCTTTGCTTGCCGAAGACCATGCACGAGCCCCCAATATTCAGCGACATTGTTAGTGGTATCGGCAGATGCATAAGCCATACTTGATACCCACAGAACGCATGCGGCGTGAGTCGGAACGTGTAGTCGTACAATCACAGACCCGGCTCCACCTGGACCTGGATTTCCGCGGGACCCGCCGTCAAAGAAGAGGAGGTAAAGCTCGCCAGGGAGCCGTTCGATAGGCCGGACTAGTAACGAAGGAGGTTCATCGTAGCAGAGTAGGGTATCAGCCAAGGCCGACCGTACCTGCGCAAACAGTTGCCCATCTTCCCCCATCTCGGGCTGATAGGTTGATCGCCGAAACCGTCTGACCGACCGACGAAAGCTTGTCTTGGCGCTGGCTATGTGCACCTCCTGTGATAACGACGAGTCTTCCATGCGGCGGAGGCGCTCGACCCAGATTGCATGAAGGGTCGTTGATACGACAAAACGCCACAGCTCTCTATCTGCCGGAAATATAGCAGCCTGAGCTTTTGATAAATTAGTGCCTGGGTCCATGGATTGCTTAATTACATCCCAGGCGTAGGGTGGAATCGCCGGGAGGTCCAGGCCAAACACCCAAACATTCAATTCAGCCTCCTGGAAAGTTCCAAGCCATCGCCACCGATCAAGGAGAAACTCCCAGTGACGACGCGCACTAGAGCATGTCCAAAAGATATGGCTTGCCAGAGCTGGACCAGCATTCGCACACTCAGGGACCGGGCAAGACAGATCTTGCTTCGCCCAATTCTAGAGCGGAAAACTGTTACTCTTTAGCCTATACAGCGTCTGAGCGTTTGTCGGAAAGGACGCTCGTATTCGTCGAATGTCCCTCCAAGTAATCAATGTTGTACCTTCCGAGATCACGTGAAAGTCCGTCGTTGCCACACGTTCATCAAGAAGTCTAGTCCCTACAGCACGGCGCCGCCGGGTGATAATCTGTTTCAGTTTACGTCGTTGCGGCCGCCACCTTCGTCGTCCAGCCCACATGTGGACAACGCGAGTAAGCGCCGGATGCGCTCCAAAGTGAACAGGAGACTTACTAGCTGTTGACGCGGCTATATCGCATGCCGCGTCAACAGCTAGTAAGTCTCCTGTTCACTTTCCATCGACGCGACCGGTTGCACTCCACATTCCATGCCCGTATCGAAATGTCTGAGCGACTTACCGTCACCAGTTAGAAGCCAGTCATGGAACTGGTGCACCTTTGTAGAGTATGCAATCACAGACCCAGGCTCCAGTGGTCGATATACCAGTGACGGGAAATTGTAAAGCAGCGCGAGGCAGAAGGACCCAAAATGCCGTCGCTTTGCCATAGACTGGGACGCCATGTCACGCGTAGGAGAGAACAAGACCATGCCACTCTGCAGGGTCGTCCACGTCATTGTCTCGCCAAGGTAATTCAAGTTTCGCGCAAAGTCGGCCCCGTTCAAGCTGTATGCCTTACCCTGTCGATCTCTGAGCCACGACATATCCTTAAGCGTGGCGTATGCCAGCCACCGGTGGTCAAATCGCCCTGATGCTGCTACATCAGCTCGCATCCCAACGCGCAATCTGTCATCAATAACCCGCCGGACATCAATTGTGACACTACCGTCTTCATTATAGGCGACTGCTGCTCTCGACGTAAACGACAAGGCTCGTCTACAGACCTCGCTGACCGCACCTTGGCGTGCATGTTGAGCCGAAGAAAGTCCAACAATTTCAGACCCGGTTAGCCAAAGCGTTGCGCGATATCGAGGGAGCTTGTCTTCCGTCCAACAAGGCGTAATGTAAGCCGTACCCGACCCGGTAGATCCCCATAAGAAGTCACCAATTAGTAAGTCTCTCGAAGAGACAGTAGCAGCCCATTGTCCAACTGCTGTTGCCGCCATCGTCATCAATTCCGTCCGAATACAGGGAACCGCTAGTCCTCCCTGCTGGATAGGTAAGGCCGCTATCTCGGAAGATACCCAGGGTCTGGATCGCTTTCTATCTCGGACACCCCATACAAAGTCCATTATTAAGCTGTGCAACCGGGTCTCACTGCGGGAGGAGGCCAACAGTGCCGTGCTAAGAAGTTAATTTTGGGCACCGCGATAGCACTTGCTAGCAGAGCACGTTGTTCCACTGTGTGCGTCTTCTCGCGGGCTAAGACAAGTCGGCTCCATATAGAACGTATGCACTTATTCCAGTTATCGGCCACCGCGTCCTGTTGTCCCACCAATACACCAAGATACCTGCAAGAGTCACTAGGGGCCTGCAGAGTGAGACCACAGGTGCTAAAAGGTTGCTCTGATCCGCGAGGGTCCAGCTCAATGATCATTGATTTCGACCGATTCGTCCGGAGACCCGACACATGAGCAAATTCCTCTAGAATAGCTACAACAGGCGTAACCGAGGACCGATCGCGAAGGTAGACAGCAGTATCGTCAGCGTATCCCGATACTTTGAACTCTGTAGCCCGCCCTCCAGTGGAGATAGGCACCCCCCGAATGTCCTCCCTCGCTTGTAGCACCCGATAGACACTATCGAGGGCTAAAATAAAGAGAAGTGGCGCAAGGGGGACATCCTTGCCGTATTCCACAAGTAACGTCACGTCGACGAGAGCGGTATCCATTCACAAGAAATCGGCAGGTAGTGTCGTGGTGTAATGCTGCCACGACTGATACGAAATGAGGCGAAAACCCAAGCCATGTCAGAGCGGAAAGCAGATATGGACGTTGCAACGTGTCGTAAGCCTTGGCAAAATCGAGAAGTAGCACAATGGCTCCATGTAGGCTGCTGTCCAAAGTCGCAGCTTTGCGTACCGTCGCGAAAATGTCAAGAGCTGTATGGATCGACCTCTTTGGAACAAAACCAACTTGAGCCGGCATAACGAGATGCGACAATAATGGCCGTACCCGAAACGAAAGAATCTTGGTAAATAACTTGTAGTCGCTGTTGAGGAGAGCAATCGGGCGATGATCGAGCGGCAAGGCGGAGGACGCAGATTTCTTCAAACACTGAATGTTCGCTTCACCGAAGGAAGACGGGAACACGCTGCACGTAAGCCATCTGGTGTAGAATGTAGCGAGTACTGGACTGAGCGCTTCCGCGTAATCTCTGTAAAATGTGTTGTTAATTTCGTCCGGTCCCGCGGCTTTCCCACGTTTCAGCCTCTTTAAAGCCGCACTCACTTCATCGGGGGAAACGGCCGACATCACAGTAGTGTCATCAACTGGTCCTGGCGGGACTGCCCGGGAAAGAAAAGTGGCGGTAGCGTCGGGACAGGCAAAGGAATGAGTCATAATACGCTCCCAGCCATCCTCCATTTCATCAGCCAGCTCTTGGGAATGATTTGGCCCGTATGCAGCCTTTCCGCCCAAAGAAACAATGGTGTTGTCTTGAAATTTAGTCGCCACCCGGGCGAAAAAACGTCGAGATGTTTCTCCAGGAGTATACGTGTGTTGAACAAGAAGGCGCTCTTTTTTGGATCTCTGCCATAAGCGTCGACACTCCGCAACATTACGCCGCAGTCCAACCGGAGTATCGGTGGTGCTAGGCTTGTTGCAGTCCTTATGAGCTCCTGGTGGTGAGTTATCAAGTGTACGCGCCACCAATAGAGCTGCGTCCAGTCTTACATAGAGCCGACGGAGCCGCTGCCGATAGCTTGTTGTCATACCTTGACGCGCGGTCTTGGTCGTCGCCAAAAGAACTTTGCGAAGCCTGATCTTCCATTCATCCCACCAGTCGGCCAATCTACGGGCCGTGATATAGTCCGACGGCGGAACAGAAAGAGTCTCGTCCGCTTTAAGCTGTGCCAGCTTAATGGCCGCAACAATTGCTTTATGCGCGGCTGTGTTTGCACAACCTGGAACAGGGTACACGTGCCTCGGCTTACGTACACGGACCACATAACGCGGCACTCCAATCCTGATACTGATGCCATTGTGGTCAGCTGCTGGACCAGGAACTGACAAAGCAACGCCACGAATCCAATCAGCATGGCGAGAGCTCACATACCACCGATCCAGTCGGGAAATAGCCAATTCACCGCCCGGAAGAGTGTAGAAATAAGTGTGAGAGGCCGCATGAAACGCCGGTACATCTCTTTTTTCTTCGGCCATCTCCAGATCACCATCAAGAACATCGCTAAGCTGCACTCGGCCGAGAAGCCGCCGAAGCGCCAAGGAATCATGTCTTCCTGGCGGCGAGACAAAAGAACGGTCAAGTCGCGGCTCCAAAGTACAGTTGAAGTCCCCTCCAACAAACATGGGTCCTTCGTATCCCTGAAGAATAAGTAGAAGGCTCGAGAACAGCGCCTCTCTTTCAGTCTTGGTACTTGGGGCGTAAACGTTTACAACAAGAACTGTTTCGCCCATTAGACAGACCCGGACAGCCATCCAATGCTGTGTCCATTGATCCTCATACCACGGAACCATTTCCGTAATTGTTGAGTATGGGTTTAATAAAATAGCCACACCTCCACGAGAGAACTCGGACTCGGTCCACAACGAGCATCCGAGTTTGTGCACGAATCCCCAGGAGGAGTTGTAAAGCTTGTCCAGAGGAGCTGCCTCACCTAAAGTGACCCGCGTTTCCTGTAAAAGGACCAAATCGATGATTCCCCTGGCTTCGCTCTGTCGGAAGTGGCTGAACCAAGTTGCGCAATGTTCCGGATTCTTGGGAAATCCTGCGAAATTCTGCGAATGGATACCTATGCTGTTGTCGCGTGGAATACATGAGGTCTTAAAAAGGCGTCTTTGACGACGTTGTGGCATGTGCCGCGACGATGCATCCTCTAGCTCAGCCGAGACGCCCTCAGCACCTAGAGTCCAGCAGTTGACCATCTTTAGCGATAAGGTCAAGGGCCGGCTGCCAGTTGGCAGGTTTGCATATAATGCTAATCACCGCCGCGCGCACCTCTTTGGTGAGGTGATATAGTACAGCCTTGGTTTGCGGCATTACCACGTTCGTCTTAACCTCAATAGGTGCGAGCTTCGGGAGCAATAAACACAGAACATTGAGGACTCCCCACTGATCCAAGTCAGAAAGCGGTTCGACGACAGTCGCACACAGCAAATCGGGCTGTAGCTTACTAAAGCGTCTCCAGCGTTGTATATTGTCCGTCGTTCTCCATCGAATATGACCGGTTTGCGCGTCTGCCGTGGCGGCCCAACCCTTGCACAGCTCGCGAAGTTCTTCATCTGCGTGTGTGGTATGTCGCCGAATTACAGCCAGTTGAGATTCACTGTTGATGGAATGTCCAAAAGACCGTAGGGTTTCACCCGACATCGAGGCAAGGTAAGCAACAGGATAAGGTAGTCCACAGACGAGTCCCGCCAAGTCCAAGGAGCACGCGTTTATCCAGGCCATTTGTCCCTTAGGTCCAACTGGCATTGTAGTCGGTAGTGCAGCCATCGCTTTGTGCAGGCTAACCCATTTGTGAATCGCCGCTGTGTTCAATGAAATTTGTTTCATGCTCTCCGGCACTGCAGCAGCCGCCACCGCAGCAGATGCGCTAACTGGAATTTTGCGAATCCTTGTTGCGCGTAAAGTCTGATCGTGGGTATCTGGAGCGCGACATTGTTCCATCGGGGACCGGACTGCTACCTGCGTACAGAGACCACCCATGCTAGCGGTAGGACGTGTTAATAAACTAGAGGCACCCGTGTCGGAAACGTCGATAACTCCAGACGAGGCCTTAATCTCTTCCTCAATTGCCTTGGCTAGATCCGCTGGAATAGGTACACTAGCGGCACAGGGAGGCGGAGTAACTGCCCCTCCATTTAAATCATTCAAGCACATAGTGTTCCCGAACGTAACCGTGCTCTCCGCCATAGTAACATCGAGATCTTGGGGACGCTGCCCGTCCGATTTTGGGGGGCACATCGGCGGTAGATCCGGTGGACCCGGATCACGCGGCGCCTTCGCGGTAGGTACCGTACCAAGAGGTTTATCGATCGGCTCACTTGGTACACCCCGTTTGCGGCGCACATACGAAGCCAACAAGCGTTGTATCATGGACCGACTCCGCTCTCTACTTCTTGCTGCCATCTCCGTAGGCATCTCGCGAGGTGGTGTATCATCTTGCGGGGCCGTATCTTCGGTCACAGGCTTCGGTTTCGGTGTAATCTTTGCCAACCTACGTGTCAGTGTTTCGAGGGTTTTCGCTGCTATCGTTGCATCCGCATTCGCTCGGTTCGCCGTCGCACCTGCGGTGCGGTATTCGTACTCCATCCTCAGCAATTCCTCACTGACTTCTTCAGGAGAAGTAGGTTCTCTATTACTCGTTTCCTCAGTAGCAATAGCCACTTCGAGTGCCTGAGCGTGAGCCGCAAAGTAGCATGATTTCGTGGTGTCTGCCGCGCGCTGCTTCTCTTCGGCTGCTTAATTAAGTTCCTCGACCGTTTTTTGTGCGGTTGCTACTTGCGATCGAACGGCCTCAAGGGTCGCCTCTTTTAAATTCGTCGAAGGCAGCGCCGAATCGACCCCCGGATCAATCGGTGCAGGTTCTGCAACTTCCTCATGAGCACCACTCAATATGTGGTCCAGTTCCCGAATCGCCAGCGTGCGCTGGGTGTCCGCCTTCGAAGAAGCGGAGGGTGGTGGCGAAGAATGGACCGTGGTCGATTGCCCTTTTTGACAAACAGTTGCCTTAGTCTGTTGAGGTGGTTTCTTTTTGTCAGCGACCGTGTTCGTGGAAATAGTTTGGGCAACAGCCTTCGACTTCGGGAGTGGTGACTTTCTTGCACCTCCATCTTTGTTGAACTGCGGATGCTTGGGTAGCTTCACAGCAAGTCCTGTTGCCCGACTAGCCGGAACATCTGCGGGGCGCACATCCCTCTTTTTCTTGTTCGCTCCAGGATCGAACCACTCGTTCGTCATTGGACCACTGACGCGAGTAGCCCCGCCCCGAACGGCCTGTCCACCGGCAAGCGGAGACGTGTTCGGAACTGACGACTGCCCAGCACAAGGAGGTACCTGCGAGACCTCACTTAACAGTGGGGCCTTGTCGCCATCAGCCTTTAATTTCGCCGTGGTTGCCACCAAAGTATCCGCCAGTCCAGAGACATGCTGCAGGCGACCGGCAACGTCCAAGTGGTTAAAAGTCAACCCACTGACGTGAGGAGGAGCTATTGGAATACCAGTAAATTCTCGGTGATGCTGAATTTGAAAAGCGCCTTTGCGTCCACCACACTTAGCACTCGAGTGATATGGCGAATAGCAGGAAAAACAGGGAACGCGTTGAAAGTGACGAAAATGGTGGAGAAAGATCTCCGTTTCGGATGTTGCGATGTGCGTGACCAGCTTGAGTTGCTCGGGACATGACACCATGTCAAAAGTTGCCACGAAAAAGTTGGAATCATATGCCTCCGAGCCGAGTGGGCACCCACGAGACACGGATGTGACCGTACAAGCCACACTAGACGCCAATATAGCTTGAACCGTGCTTGCCGCCACTCCATTGACCAAAATCCGGACTTGGTATTGCAATTGGTGTCTACCACTTGACGTGGCTAATAGCGAAGGAGCAGTAATGTCTTCGCGCTCCATAGTGGCCGGGCACAACAGCTTAAGACGCTTTCCGCGAAACAAAATCATCTTTGCATGCCAGCTTGCTGCTGCCGCTTGATCCGGCATAATGAAAGTCAGTCGCCTCGTTTCGGCATCGTAACTGGTCCGCTTGGCGCCCTTGACCAATTCCCGACTCATGACATCGGACTCCGTCTGCCCCTCACTGCGTTCCAAGAGCTGGAGTAGCAACGTTTTCTCGGCGATGTACTGAGGCATGCGCACGTACGGAGGGACAATCGCAATGACCTTCCCTTCCAGGTACTCTTCGAAAAAATCAAGCATTACAACTCGCGTAGCCCTCGGGTGCGTGCACACCAAAAATCCAGGCGGAGACTGGAGCATGATAGCCCCCATCATCCATGCCGCTAGAGCCTCCTCTTCAAGCGGAATCATCGAACGGAGATCATCGTCTGATCTGTCGGTCCACACTCTCGTAGCCGCCCGCACCAGCACCCGGGTGTGGTCAGCAGATGAGCGCTGACTCCCATCCTCTTTGGAGTCAGCGAAAAGTCCCGGACCCTGCCCGTCTACCGTGTCGGCCCTTCCCTGCTCTGTTGCAGCTCTCACCGGTCCCGAGCCCGCAGACACCAACAAGTGAGGCTCATACGCCGACCCGAGATTTCGAGATCGAGCCGCAACGTCACAGGAAAAAGCTCCCGCGATAGGAGAGGACCCGACCCGCGGTCCTTTCCCCTGTGCACCCCGTTCTGTAGCCACTGGATACTGACTACCTCCGTCAAGGAAGGAGTCAGCCGCTGCGGCCGCGTACGAACGCCGACCAGTACGGGTCCCACAAATAGGCGCAGTAGTTGGGGGGCCGAGGCCGCCTGTCCAAGCTCGGGATTGGTCAGAATTCCCGTGCCCATCCCCTATCGTCTCGTCTTGCCCCGTCTTTTCCACTCCTATTGGCACGCTCTCGCCCGACACGGGCGTGGGCACACTCGAGCCACCTACCTCGTCATCACTCCATGCCACTCGCGTACGGTGCCCGGTTCCTCCTTCCACATGTGCGCCGTTTTCGAAGTCACCGCGCTCTTGGGTCGGCGAGGGCTTATTACTAGGCGCTAATTCGCCGATGTATGCGTGCATACTGCGTTGACACACTCCCCGGTGCCACAAAGATTTGATTGCGTGATTGGCCGCAAATCTGGAAGTAAAATCTTTGTCCTAGCGCAGCCAGAAGGTAACCAAGCACGAATGTATCTGCTCTCTTTACTGCTCAACTACCACCAAGCGAGGTAACAAGATCTAAGAAAATGGTCAACAAGTGCCAATGGAATTTGGCGGTTGTATTAAGGCAATACACCTGGCTAAAACGCACGACACGGACCGGCCGCTAATTCTCAGGTACTGGGCGGAACATTTCTCCGCTTACGTGCACACCCTACCACCCGCTGGACAAACCCCCGATGAGACCGAGGAGAAAACATCTGGGTCCAGCCGGTCAATCGAGCCGATCGAGATCGGCGCGGGATGTAGCTGAAACTGGTGCCGAGCGAATCCCAGCAGGGACCAGAGTGCAGCAACAGTATAAGCTTGCCATTTTGCCCCTAATTTCCGATATTGATCATGATGCTAGCGGCACGCACAACGCGCACACCTCTTATCTCTCGCTAACTTCAACCACTCGACCAGAACAGGAACAAACGTCAGATCAGAAACGCGCGCACTCGACTACTCCTGCTGATGCAAAACAAATTTGGCGGAATCTGCGCACGCAGCTGGATCAACATCACCACGAAGGAAAGGCATGAATGAGGGATGCTGCTGATCCGGCCTCGCACATAGGCAGCTATGACACGCGAGATTCCTGGATCGAGCTCTGGCGTCAGCACGGCGAGTCCTGGTCAGCTTCGGCTACCGCTAAATTTCCTCTCGTACACAGCAGTGTAGAAGTCTGGATGACAGCAGTTAAGCGTGAGCCAAAGAAGCTTTTTTACATGCTGCAGGTTTTCCCTCACCCCGAGGTATTACTTAGCTGCTCAAGCGCGTCAGTCTTGGAGTACTCAATTGCAGCTTGGAGAAAGGGATGCTTACATGCTCAACTTGCTTCATATCGCATCCGGACATCGGACACAATTGTGGTCAGACGACTGGAAGTCTAAGATCTCGAGGCCAGCCTCTCACAATTTACCAGCACTTATCGACAGCAGGGATGACCGGGTGCGTCTTAGAAACAACGCTTACGGGGACGATTCGATCTTGAAACTTTGTGATGTGGCCAATAAATAACGATTTGCACATTACATGATGTGTGCAATTTTTAACGAAAAGGAGATCTGAGTGCTCATCAGTCAAGAAGACAATGGAGACATTGGGGCGCTTCCATGTCTCATCAGGCACCTGGATGCGTTCGAACTGGTTACCAGGTATCGGGAAGAATTTGGCAGCTCTTCTACCGACATGAGATGGTCGATTATCGCGAGCTTCTTTTTAGAGGCTCATGAGCACGGAAGGGCAAAGTCCCAACTTACTTACTAAGGGCATCTCTAAATTTCAATTTCAGTCACCAATTAACTGGAAGACGGGGGCTGGAAGACGCGTATGGGTGTCACATCTACATAAAAAAGGCGCATCTCTCATCGACGGGAAGAGGAAGCAAGAATGGAGATAGCAGGCTCAAGCGCGTTGAAACACAGAATGTGCGTGGCTTTACAGCCCAAAATAAGGTCACAATGGCTCGAAGCTTGGAGGCGGACACCAACGACGGAAAGACCGGTGGCCTGGACGATTCAATAAACGCATGTTAGTTCACGTGGAGAAGCTGCTGAACTAGAGGCGATGTGTGCCCTATTGTAGGGGCGGTCACATCATCACTTGGGTTCAAAACTGTCTTTCTGGAGAATAGATGCGAGAAAAACCGGGGGAGTGGCTATTTTATCAAACCAAAAGTGGCTTTATTGACACACCCATGGATATTGGAGCTATGGAAAAATCACGTCATTGCTGTGGACCTGGGCGCCTTTTGACTAGTAAATATATACGCACCGAACGGCCATGCGGCCCGGGAGAGTTTCTTCCCGCACTTGCAGCAATGTCCCTGGAAGCAGACGGAGACCTTCATTGCCGGGGATTTCCATTGTGTGCAAAGCCCGGCTCTCGACAGGCCTGGAGGGACAAGGTCGGGGCGGCCAGAGAGCGCTGCGTTACAACCCTACTCCACCAGATTAATATGGAGGCCGCGTTAACTCTCTGGGCTAGCGTAGAGGATGATGACGAGGAACTGCACCCGAATGAATTATGTACGTATTGGGGCAGGGACTCATCCAGTCGTATCGACCGTTTTTACTTCCCAGATTCCTGGTCTTCCGTGGTACAATGGTTTTAAGTCGAGGAACAGTAAGTCGGGTCAGATCATCAACGTGTGTTGTTACACCTTCAAGATACTAGCACTGTAGGGATCTCGTGACGGAAACAGCATCCGGTTATTTAACCTATTCCGACGGCTCAGCCCAGTCGGGTCATCGAGGCATTATTGGATGATCTAACTGCAGCACAGGTGGGTCATGCAGTAACCGGACAGACGTGGGACCGAACAGTGCAGCAGTGCGTAAAGTGTGTTCAGCGCGTCCGGACCCGAAAAAATCGCCCTTGACAATCGGTAGCTCGCCGAATGAAAGCGCAGAGTAGAGCCCACATTTTGACTCGATGGGGGCTATTAGCTGTCAATGTGGCCGGGGCAATGTAGGAGCACTTAGTCCGACAAGGACAACGGTTGGGACGAACGAAGGAGCAACTGCGATGGATACATAGGCGGGTATCTAATTTGAAAAAGGGATCAGATCATATCGAAGATACGTCAGCTCTACGGAGCTGTTTCTGGACGCAAAATTACGATTGCAGACAAATTCTCGTCGGAGTTGCAGCCTATTTTAGGCGTTGTTCATAATTTAGCGTCGTCCGCGCATCTCGGGACCGAATTCGACGCATTTGTGCAGATACCTGACGCCAGACGTTGGAGGGCACTCAAAGTGAGCAAATAATGTGCGTTATTCCTATTGACGAGGTTGTTCAAGCGATATCGGCACTTTACCGGCACGAGGCTGCCAGTTCGGATGGCCTCGAATTTTTTTTTGAAAAACACCCAAGCAGTCATGGTATCAGCCATAGTGGCTCTCGGCAATGAGCTACTCCGAGGAGGCAAGCCTCGCCCGTCCTTTTCGAAAGGTTCAATTATTCGACTGCGCAAGCGTGGCGACCCGGATGATGCGATGGAACACCTACCCATCCCTCTTATGCAGACTAAATACAAGACATTCACTAAAGTTATTGCTACAAGAATGCAAAAAGTCTTAGGGACATTGATCGGAGTCTCACAACAGGGATTCGTCCATGGTCGACAGATGCAAAAGACCGTGATGATGATGATGGCAGTATTGTCGTCGTCCGACGCGGATCCAGACGTTACGGCCGTATGTGCCGGATCATCCTATTGCTAAATTTTGGCAAGGCATACGATATGGTCGCCCGTGATTTTCTTTCTTGGCACACCAGCGCTTTGATTTTTTTAATCGAGTTTGTCACCATGATAAAGAATATTCACGACGGTACATCTGCTCAATTTGTGATGAATGAGAAACTATTCGAGCCACGCGCGGTAATTTCTGGCATCAGGCAAGGGTGCCCACTTGCCCCGCGATTTGTTCTTGTTACAGCGGAAGTCGTTGCTTTGGCTATTCAACAGGATGCCGGGATCAGGGGGCTACGTGTCCCGGGAGGAGCCGGCGAGACACATAAATTCTTAGCGTTTGTTGACGACTCAACGGTATATCTATAGGAAGCGCGGTACATTCCTCGGGTGCTGCAAATCGTCAAGGGTTTCGGGCCATTATCTGGCTTGAAGGTGCAACCAGACAAAATAAAATTGATTCCCCTAGCACGACTGTACAATGCGAGAATTTTTCGGCATACCAGTACTCCTGTCAGGGGCCACGATCAGATATTTGGGGTACGCAGTGAGGACGGGGGAGCTGACTGATGTGAATCGGGATGCCCGTATACACAACGTCCAACGACGCCTAGCAACGTCGACCCAGCTCGCAACCAGCGTTGAACACCGCGTATTGCTGCTTAACGTCATTATGTTGCCGTCGGTGTTATTCACTGCAGCGATGTTCGAACCCCACCGTGGGCCGAACAACAGCTCAGAAATATACAAAAGCAATTTCAATGGATACACTATACAATTGCGGAGGCTTCTTGCCACAAGATGAATCCCGCGCTGTTACATACGCCACTACAAGCGGGCGGGGTAAATTAGCTTCAATTATAGTAGCTTTTAAGACAAAAAGGTTCAAACACACCATCCTATCGCTTTTACAACGCAAGAATATCTATCTTTCTGCTTGAAAGACCCGGGTGCTTTGAGGCGGAACGCTAGATGGGTCAGCAGAGCTGTCACTTATCACCGGATGGCCCCGACGGCTCACATCAGGCCGACAAACGCCAGGAAATTCGATATTGAATCTACTTGGTGCCTGGATGGCCCCTACGTCGATCATCTCTGAGGCCAGCCGAAAAAAGTTCGCTGAGGCGTACGGGATCATGACAAATATCGCTAGCAGCTGGTCCACCTTAAAGGAATGGGTGTTGAAACTCGCGCAGCCGATCTCAGCCCACGCATTCTTGATGCCTCCTGAAGAAGAACCTTTCGGCCTACATACGCTTAGACGGATAACCCATGGATTGAAGATCAACACGGAAAGCCGTTAACATCCCAGCAGTACGACAAGATTCAGCCTTGATCGATTGCTGACCTGCAAATACAGCAAATTAGGGTTCCGACATGCTCCTTTGTCATTTCGATGACAGGATCTACCACGCATCAGAAAGCAAAGCTACGTCGCTGGTATCTGACAATTTTACTGGCCGCACCGTACTCTGACTTTGATACAACGCTACAAGTTCGACGCAATCTACGACTGCGGCACTCTCCGGCGCTCGAATATATATACGTTTGAGCACACGCCTTAGCGGGACAATTCCGAGAAGTTATGGTCGATCCGATTAACTACCAGCAGGGTTACATCATGTTTGTGTAAGAGAGTGATGAGCTTCATCGGATACTGGCTGCATCTAACAAAGCAAAG